GATGCCAAAGTAAGCTGTTATTTTGAGCATATTTGATCTGCAAGTCTCCAAAGAATCTTACTCTGTAACGGTACTTACTGTTAATGTATATTATGAGGGAGTAGTAAATAAACGCTCTTCACAAAGCTGCCATGTCCCAGGTGTCTAGGTTGCCAGTTTTAATCATATTATCATCTCGTTCAATTGCTTAACCTGTTGCGTTCGGTGTGTATTTATTAAAAAACGATTCCGCTGAGGTTTGGTCGTCCTGCCTTGGTGTCTCTTGGACAACAACAGGCACCATAACTACACAGTCTCTGGGACCACGACAGTCAATATAGCTTCACAGTATCAGGGACCACAACAATCAATATAGCTACAAAGTCTCTGGGACCACAACAACCAATATAGCAACACAGTCTCTGGGACCATAACAACCAGTATAGCTTCGCAGTCTCTGGGACCACAACAACCAAATTAGCTACACAGTCTCTGGGACCAAGGCAGTCAATATAGCTACACAGTCTCTGGGACCACAGCAACCAATATAGCTTCACAGTCTCTGGGACCACAACAACCAATATAGCTACACAGTCTCTGGGACCACAACAAACCAAGTATATATACACAGTCTCAGGGACCACAACAACCAATATAGCTACACAGTCTCTGGGACCACAACAACCAATATAGCTACACAGCCTATCCAGGGACCACAACAACCAATATAGCTACACAGTCTCAGGGACCACAACAACCAATATAGCTACACAGCTGGGACCACAACAACAGTCTCAGGGACCACAACAACCAATATAGCTACACAGTCTCAGGGACCAAGGAAGTCAAGATAGCTACACTGTCTCTGGGACCACAACAACCAATATAACTTCACAGTATCTGGGACCACAACAACCAATATAGCTACACAGTCTCTGGGACCACAACAACCAATATAGCTACACAGTCTCTGGGACCACAACAACCAATATAGCTTCACAGTCTCTGGGACCACAACAACCAATATAGCTACACAGTCTCAGGGACCACAACAGTCAATATAGCTTCACAGTATCTGGGACCACAACAACCAATATAGCTACACAGTCTCTGGGACCACAACAACCAATATAGTCTCAGGGACCACAACAACAGTCTCTGGGACCACAACAACCATATATAGCAGGGACTCTGGGACAACACAGTCAGGGGACCAAGGAAGTCAAGATAGCTACACTGTCTCAGGGACAACACCAACATCTGGGACCACAACAAATATAGCTACACAGTACACAGTCTCAGGGACCACAACAACCAATATAGCTACACAGTCTCAGGGACCACAACAACCAATATAGCTGCACAGTCTCAGGGACCACAACAACCAATATAGCTACACAGGCTCAGGGACCACAACAACCAATATAGCTTCACAGTCTCAGGGACCACAACAACCAATATAGCTACACAGTCTCAGGGACCAAGGAAGTCAAGATAGCTACACACTGTCTCTGGGACCACAACAACCAATATAGCTACACAGTCGCAGTCTCTGGGACCACAACAACCAATATAGCTACACAGCTTTCTCTCAGGGACCACAACAACCAATATAGCTACACAGTCTCAGGGACCAAGGAAGTCAAGATAGCTTCACACAACCAATCTGGGACCACAACAACCAATATATCTACACAGTCTCTGGGACCAACAACCAATATAACTCAGGGACCACAACAGCTATACAGTCACAGGGACCACAACAACCAATATAGCTTCACAGTCTCAGGGACCAAGTCAGTTAATATAGCTACACAGTATCTGGGGGACCAACAACAATATAGGTACTACACACAGTTTCTGGGATCCACAACAGTCTCAGGGACCAGGCAGTCAATATAACAACAACAATATATATAGGTACACAGTCTCAGGGACCACAACAACGAATATAGCTTCACAGTCTCAGGGACCAAGTCAGTTAATATAGCTACACAGTTTCTGGGACCACAACAACCAATATAGGTACACAGTCTCAGGGACCACAACAACCAATATAGCTACACAGTCTCAGGGACCAAGTCAGTTAATATAGCTACACAGTTTCTGGGACCACAACAACTGCGAGCACAGCAGTCAATATATCTGGGACCACAACAATCAATATAGCTAGGCAGACTTTCTGTTATGAGAAATGTCAATACAGCACCAATCAATACTGCCACTGGTCACAACAATATAACTGCATTACTGCATGGAACTGCACTATGTCTATAGGTCCTGGCCTGTCAATATTAGAGACACAGCAGCTGGGATTTAAAGACTGTTAATGGTGACCGTATCTCCTCTATTTCAGTGTACACATGAGCTGCTTTTGAACACCCTGCTGGGAACTAGAAGATATTTTTAGATGTTATATTGCGTTGTGATAAAGAAGAACAACGCCACTGCAGGTTAAGAGTGTGTGGCGAGGTGAAATATTTCCGGGTAGCATAGTGATATAACATGCTTCATACACGGGCTGAGCAGGGGGAAAATAGTCTGAATGAATCACCGACAGACTTTTTACGAATATCATTTTGGAGAAATATGTGCATGTCACAGATTATTAAATCGTATGTCCCAACATATATGTGGATCTAGAGAGTTGGTATCGAGGTTTCTTTTAGAATGGAACTTTACATTCTTATCAGCTTTACAAAGGAAAAGCGCACAGTGCTGAAGCAAATTAGTGATTTACTGAAGAACTGGACCCTGATATAGTCTCTGGACCCATGATATCACTAAAATGCTTCACCAACAATATCTAAGCAATAGAGCGATTTAGATGTTACCGGTTTTGGATCCTCCAGCCTGACTAGCGGACACGCCTCAATGCACCCCATCCCTTCACGTTTTCCTCCCCACTCCATACATTTTAACTCGGCCAAGTCATGTTTTGTATGTGCACACCCTCTCTTTGAAAACCCTCTACGCATAGGGCTGTTGATATTTAGCAGGTCTTAGTGTAATCCACAAATGTCTTGCGAACGAGGGTGTAGGCGAGGGCATCTCCTATCACCTTACCTATTTATCCCTGTAACTGAGAACCTTGAAAATAAGGATATACTGGTTGCTTTGTGTACGAAGTCGAAATTTTATCATTTTGTTGAACAGGTCACAAAGGTGTGTAATGAGACACTGCACCCCGTGGATAATGTGCTCATTTGTAATGTTAGCTGGGTGGCGTTTTGGAGTCTTCTTGCAGGTCACGGAAAGAGGCGAGTAGTTACGAATGGTGTGAAGTGTTGTCAAACTGGAGTTGTTCAGAAACAACCAGTCGCAGTCAATGAAATTTTCACGTGACCGCACCGCTAGAGACATGGCAACACATACACATCAACGTAACTGTATGGGCTTGGCCCATTCTACACTTCAGTACATTATTTTTATCAGATATATTCCATCCAAGGCGGTCTATAAGGTCACCTATTTCCTCTCGTCTGAAAAATACGTCCGTTGGATATATGCAGCAACATTTCACCCCTTCTGTGTGTCAGATGGACATTACCTGACACCAGAGACCATATCTCTGCTTACACCGACAACAGATGGCGTTACTTCTGCTACACATCCTTGGGCCCCGTCCGTGACGGAAGTGAACTTCAAGTAGCTGAACGGGGAAGAGACAGTTCCCACCAGCAGGCCTCAGATCACTGTTCAGTTAAGCCCCCCGCGTTTACCATGAACCGAAAGAATAATCATGGGATGTAGACTAATAGTGCCCGCCTCAAATTGGCTTCCATTTTAGCTTAAATGAAAGATCTGACATTGTATATTGTTGCAAAGAAACTTTTATTGGCACACTGCACATGGTATTGACTCCAGCCTCCCATGATTTGACCCCGAGTTCAAGGCCGTTTTAGGTAATTCGGATGGTGGATAGAGGTTGATATTTAGGGCTTGAGGTGAAAGTAAAGGCAGATACGACAACACCGAGGATCTTAAGAGTCATCTCCCGTCGGCCACTGAGATCGAACAACCACCGTGTATCCTAGTTGACATTTCTCCAATAAATAAACTAAAACACGTTGTGCTTCTTTGGACAAAATGTGATAATGATCAAATCACATGTATATTTACATGTAGATTTTATGTTAATCAACATTGTACTATTGCAAAATATCAAATGAACACGGTAACATTGATATCAGAGCCAATATCATTTGTCGATATGAATACAGTTTACAGAAACATGTAATTCAATTATTAATATATGTACAATACATATATAAATCATTGGTGGGTAGGAGCTCTTACTTTAATATTAATTAATATTGTATAAAAGGTTGCTTTTCTCACTCATTTTCAGAATTCCCGCTCCATCTAACCCAACTACATGGACTGCATACTCAAACTGACTACATACAAGTCCCATGAAATCACCACTAGTACCCCAGAACTAACAATCTAGTCAAATAAAATGCATGGGCAGATACAGCTTTTGGAGAAAGGGTGTGTGGTGTGTGCACAGTTCAATACACCCGTTTTCACGAGAGCTTCACTTAATAAACTTACTTATAGAAATTTGAAGAACTGATTTTAGCTTAATAGACAAATGTTGATGCGTATCCCAGGCATCTTATGTTGAAAATCTATAAAGTTATTTTTTATTCTGGACACAAATTTACCTTTCAAAAATGTAGTTTTAATTTCATCTTAATCTGGGGTTCAATGAGCCAATTTCCTTAAAGTAGTCACCCAGTCACAGATTAGTGTTCAATACGTTTAATTGTAACAGAAGTAAGGTAACTACATATTTCACATATCGTCACAACAACATGATTACGTGCATGTGAGTATTTTTATATAAAAGTAATGACTATATCCTGCTACTCTACTTCCGTCAGGTCAGTCAAAAAGAGACCGATATCCAAGCCACTGTTGGCTGATCGAGAGGCGGTTAAAGTAATGGAAGCGCCACTACAATCTCGCAAAGAACACCGGAACAAGGGGAGGTAACTCTAACCGTGTCACTCCAGCATGGCGATGTTTATAAATTGCACCGAGCTGGAGGAGGGTGTCTTGTGTAATGGGACGTTGTACACGATCCCCGAGGCGCGCCTCACCTTCCATGACAACATGTTCTGGGTGTACCTGGCCATCTACGTTGCTCTGGTGCTCACTGCAGGTAGAGTGATAGCAGTTGCGACCATCCCGTCAGCTGACAGGCCGCGACTTGAACAGTGATTTGTGTACTTCTCGCTTTGGTTGAGAGGTCCAAGAGAAATATGTTTAGTAATTAACCAGCAGTAGATGTTAAGTGGTAATTTATTAACTATAATGTATTGTCGTGCCTCCACTGAAATCCCGCATGCCTGCTCACTGATAATCAGCAATAAGACCCCCCTGACACCTTATACTGCAGAGATATATGCCCAGTAGTGAGACTGGGTAGTCTGTCCTACAGACCCTGAAACAATTATATCCAAAACAAAGTCCATGCAAGTCTAGAATATGTGGCAAGTCTAGATTTCCACAGATTCTGAAAATGAAGAAAGTCTCAGGGCTCCTTTTCATTATATTTTATTTTTTTATTATGAAGTGTTGTTTTTTTCTGTAAAATATGTTGATTTCAGAGACTAGTTGTTAGTCTATGAGACTGGGCTATAATATTGTGTTCACAGGGACAGGTAATAGGAAGTGCCTAAAACTCGGGCCAAGAAAAGTCGGGCTGTGCCACAGGGTACTGCTAAAACTTGATTGCAGAATGTTAAAACGAACCCTGCAGATTTGGGTAGATACACTTCTAGCGTTCACAAATCTATAGTTTGAATCAAAATGTATATTTAACAAGTACCCAGGTAGGGTGGATCCGCAGTAGGACCCTGGTACCTGCAAGACCACATGGACCCATGTATAGCCCTGTTTACATTGTATGATAGTGGTAACTATAAACAATGGATATACACTACAAGTTGATGATATGTTCATATGCATCCATTTCTGACTTTGTTGAACAGTTGGAATAAAAATAAAGGTTTAGTGAACATAAATCTGGGCAAATAATTATGACTATTCCACCCTCACTGTGCATTGTTTTAAAAATATAGATCAATTATCCTCAAAACAATACGCCATCTGATTTGGATGAGGATAATGTACATCCAGTTTATGAGTGTAATTGAAAAGGTCTGTGTAACAGAGCTCCAGATAAGATTTAGCTCATGTGGGTACTGTACCCAATGTATTTTTTTGGAGTAGGTATTATGAATATTGAGTGGGTATTTCATTTTCCGTTACCCACTGCTTTCAAATATGTGCGTATTTCAGTCACTTTACTCACCTAAGTATTACGTCATTGAGTAAGTTTACTAAGCAGGTATGTTCTGCCTTATGTCATACCTAATCAAAACCAACTTAAATATAGGGGAAATGATTTCATAAAAAATCACTCATCCTATACTGACAGTACAACACTAGTCCTATACTTACAGTACAACTGGATAGCAATCGATGTCTTTTTCATTACGCAAGCGATTTTTATAAATATATTCCATATGCATTTGTTTTAAACTTTTTGCGTATCTAACATTTTAAATGCGTAATTGGTACGCAACAATTATTTTTCAATGCGTAATTGAAAAGTTTCTATCCGTATTTTACCCGGATAGGCAGCTTATCTGGGCCTCTGTGTAAAGCATTGCCCTGGGTCTGGCCGGGTAACTGTGGTTGGGTTCCCAGGTAATAAATTTGTCACTGCCCCAATTATTACTGGTCCTTATCAAGAAATATTTGTGGAAAGAGATTAATGGATGGATGGTCCAATTTTGTGATATGGTGGGTAGGTGCTCATTAATAATGTCAGCCACTGGTTTGTCTGGTCTAAACCAACTTACAGGTCAAGGTCACATAGCTTGAATATTGTTGGCTGCAGCATTAAATAAAAGAAAATTAAAAATTAATGCTGTATAGGTCTACTATGGATTCAGAATTTTACATCTTTGCTGGACTAACAACTAGTCTCTGAAATGAACATATTTACAGAAAAAAAAAACATATTTACAGAAAAAAACAGTTCATAATAAAAAAAATACAGTATAATGAAAAGGAGCCCTGAGACTTTTTTCATACTTGAAACTCTGGAAATCTAAACTTGCCACATAATCTAAACTTGCCACATAATCTAAACTTGCCACATAATCTAGACTTGCAGGGCCTTCTTGGATATGTTTGTTTCAAGGTCTGTGGGACAGACTACATCTTTGCCCATAATAGATATTTCCGATGGATTGTGCTTGAATGAAAAGTGATATAAGCAGTACTGGGATTGGGGTAATAATGGCTGTCCTATTTGACAAATCTTCATAAAGAAAAACTTTGTTTTCAAATGGAATCTTCCTATTTGATATGTTTAGTAAAGAGCTGCCAACATGTTTAAAATCTCAGATCTACTTACAAGACGAAACTAATTGTTTCAATATTCAAATTCAGGGGCGTAGGAACAAAACCATATCTACCGTACCATAACTAAAATTTCATTTTGATTTTCAATACTTTTTATAAATTAGCCCCCCGCTCTGAAAACCGTTCCTACGCCCCTGAGCCCCTGAATTTGAATATTGAAACAATTAATTTTGTGTTGTAAGTAGAAAAGTTACAATACTCAAAATCAGATTCTAATTCATTATCACAGAATGTTGGAGTTATAATTTTTATCACAGAATATCAGAATTCTAACTCTACATGAGACGTCTTCCTGATGCCAATAACCTATATTAAAGTCTAGTTTTCACATAGAAACAAGCTTTGGTTGTAGACTAGCAGCTACTAGTAGGAAGATGGAGATGATTGCATTTATTGTTAAGGACCGTTCATAATTTATGTGTGTGTGTGTGTGTGTGTGTGTGCGTGATGATTTTTATGGAGAGGCATGTTCAATGTGAACCCCCCCTAAAATTTATGTACAAAATAAGTGACCCCCCTGCATGTCATGTACAAAGTGAATCCCCCCTTCCCCTTCAAATATTTTTTAAGCATAATTTTAAAATATAAAATTGAGTACTTAAAAATCCTCTCTCTCTCTCTCTCTCTCTCTCTCTCTCTCTCTCTCTGGCCCCCTCTCTCTCTCCCTCTCCTCTCCTCTCCCTCTCCCTCTCCCTCTCCTCTCTCTCTCTGCCATAAATTATGAACGGTCCTTAGTCCCCTTCTGTAATTCCATCCATGCCAAGTCTTAACAGTCTGTATAATGGCCTCTGTATTCAGGTCTGATGTCAGGACTGACCATGGGCCTGCTGTCACTGGACATGATGACCCTCAAAATCCTGAAGGACGGGGGCACGACGCGAGAACAGAAGTATGCTCGAAGGATACTGCCCATTGTAAAACGACATCATCTGTTGCTGGTGACTCTGCTGCTGGCTAATGCTGCTGCCGTTGAAGCTATGCCCATCTTCTTAGACCGTATCTCCGACCCAGTCATCGCCATTTGTGTCTCAGTTACTGCAGTTCTCATCTTTGGAGAGTGAGTTGTGATTGTGTGTAGTATATCTGTGTTTGAGTCTCCAGCCAGGCAAGATGGTCACATTCTGGATTTACACTCATTGACTCAAACTCTGACTGTTGGGGGGTCATTAACTCACCCCATAGACTCTGTATCTATAGTATATATCACTGTCAGCTATCTCCTTGCCCTTGAATGCTCCTTCAGTACTATGAAAGATGTCTGGAACAGTTAATTCTCAAAGGCAAGTTTTGCATCAGTGAAAGGTTGCATCCCATGACTGCCCTGCTTTACAGGACCAACTACTGCATTTTAGTGTTGGTGGGGGGCATGGTGCCCAGTGAATGTTGTTTTAGATTGATAATTGTATTTCAGTCATCACCCATGTCCCACTCCATGATCTTAACATCATGCACAGTAGTTGCCAAATCATGTCGATATATATGTCACACTCCTAAGACTTTGATATCTTTGTCCAGTTGTATATGTAGAGTATTTATAGATTATACCCCAAGTCTGTATACATGTTTCAGAGTTGTGCCACAGGCCCTGTGTACAAGGTTCGGTTTGGCGATCGGCTCAACTCTTGCTCCGTGAGTATATCCTCCGTATCTGCTTCAACAAAGGAAATATCAGCCTGGTGTGATCGATTATATACTGCATGTATTACATTTACTGTATCTCCTTGAACATAGGACAATATTGACCTGGTGTTATATAGTATATATTGCATGTAATCTACTGTATCTCCTTGAACATAGGACAATACAGACCTGGTGTTATATAGTATATATTGCATGTAATCTACTGTATCTCCTTGAACATAGGACAATACAGACCTGGTGTTATATAGTATATACTGCATGTATTACTGTATCTCCTTGAACATAGGACAATATTGACCTGGTGTTATATAGTATATATTGCATGTAATCTACTGTATCTCCTTGAACATAGGACAATATTGACCTGGTGTTATATAGTATATACTGCATGTAATCTACTGTATCTCCTTGAACATAGGACAATATTGACCTGGTGTTATATAGTATATATTGCATGTAATCTACTGTATCTCCTTGAACATAGGACAATACAGACCTGGTGTTATATAGTATATACTGCATGTATTGATTTGATGTCACTCACTCACTCACTCACTCACTCACTCACTCACTCACTCACTCACTCACTCACTCACTCACTCACTCACTCACTCACTCCTCACTCACTTGCATGTAATCTACTGTATCTCCTTGAACATAGGACAATATTGACCTGATGTTATATAGTATATATTGCATGTAATCTACTGTATCTCCTTGAACATAGGACAATACAGACCTGGTGTTATATAGTATATATTGCATGTAATCTACTGTATCTCCTTGAACATTGGACAATATTGACTTGATGTTATATAGTATATATTGCATGTAATCTACTGTATCTCCTTGAACATAGGACAATATTGACCTGATGTTATATAGTATATACTGCATGTAATCTACTGTATGTCCTTGAACATAGGACACTATTGACCTGGTGTTACTGTGATATTGCTTGAATAGTGCTACAAGATTAGTAAAAAAATACTCACTCACTCACTCACTCACTCACTCACTCACTCACTCACTCACTCACTCACTCACTCACTCACTCACTCACTCACTCACTCACTCACTCACTCACTTGCATGTAATCTACTGTATCTCCTTGAACATAGGACAATATTGACCTGATGTTATATAGTATATATTGCATGTAATCTACTGTATCTCCTTGAACATAGGACAATACAGACCTGGTGTTATATAGTATATATTGCATGTAATCTACTGTATCTCCTTGAACATTGGACAATATTGACTTGATGTTATATAGTATATATTGCATGTAATCTACTGTATCTCCTTGAACATAGGACAATATTGACCTGATGTTATATAGTATATACTGCATGTAATCTACTGTATGTCCTTGAACATAGGACACTATTGACCTGGTGTTACAGTAGATTACATGCAATATATAGTATATATCTCCTTGAACATAGGACAATATTGATCTGGTGTTCTATAGTATATATTGCATGTAATCTACTGTATCTCCTTGAACATAGGACAATATTGATCTGGTGTTACATAGTATATGTTGCATGTAATCTACTGTATCTCCTTGAGGACTCGCAGTTTGTCCTATCCAGGTTAGTATATATCCTGATGGGGCTGTCCTTCATCGTGAGCTGGCCGCTGTCCAAGCTCCTGGACTGTCTCCTTGGCAGCAACCACAGCACATTCTTCAGGCGTGCACAGTTGAAGGTCCTCGTGGACCTGCATGGACCTGGGGATGGATCCGGGGATGAAGAACATCTCACAACGGATGAAGTCCTAATGATCAAGGTGGGTTGGAGGTCAGGTTTAAGGTATGCCAGGGTATATCATCTTAGCATATCATCATTCACATGTAACAGTAATTGTGATAACTTGTCACATGTCCGACATAATGTCATTTTCAATATATCTTCTCTTAGTAAAACAGGGAGCTCTGGACCTGAAGGGTAAATCTGCAAAGGATGCCATGGTGAACATTGACAATGTCTTCATGATCAGCTCCAATGCCTGCATGGACCACAACACCATGACACAGGTGGGTTGTTTTTGTAGAACACCTGGTGTTTTCACATCCATGGACCAGTGACTGTCGTGATGTTTTCACTGCCATATGTGGGTACAATGTGTGAAGCCATTTCGGGGGTACCCTGCTGTGATATTGCTTGAATAGTGCTACAAGATTAGTAAAAAAATACTCACTCACTCACTCACTCACTCACTCACTCACTCACTCACTCACTCACTCACTCACTCACTCACTCACTCACTCACTCACTCACTCACTCACTCACTCACTCACTCACTCACTCACTCACTCACTCACTCACTCACTCACTCACTCACTCACTCACTCACTCACTCACTCACTCACTCCCTCACTCACTCTCACTCACTCACTCACTCACTCACTCACTCACTCACTCACTCACTCACACTCACTCACTCACTCACTCACTCACTCACTCACTCACTCACTCACTCACTCACTCACTCACTCACTCACTCACTCACTCACTCACTCACTCACTCACTCACTCACTCACTCACTCATCACAGCCATAAGTTCTCTTTTGTTTCCTTTTTGTAGATCCTGTTTCACGGACACTCCCGAATACCAGTGTATGAGGAGTCTCGATCGCAGATCAAAGCTGTGCTGCTGATGAAGACCTTGATCAAGCTGGATCCAGATGATGCTGTTCCGGTCAGCAGCCTCTTGCTTGACCCACAGTACTTCCGCCCGGTCATCTTTATTGATGATGTTAAGCCTCTGCATGATCTCATCAATCTCTTCCAGACTGGCAAAGGTGACATGTTGTAGGCCTTGAAACTGAAAGATGTAAAAACTACCTGACTGGTATTTGGTTTCTTCAAGAAACATTTTTCTTCTTAAAACATTAGCTCATTAGCTGAGAACATACTCACATCTAGTTTATGTCCAGTAACGACAATTTTACATGCCTATCTTCAGGTCACTTGGCTGTAGTGCAGAAATCCCATCAGGGGAGACAACTGCGTGGTCTGCAGGACAACACTGATGACGTAACCCCGTTGTTGGGAGAGTCTCAAGATGACCCACAGCATGACAGTCCACAGCAAGTAGGGGAGGTGAGTGTGTCCAAAGTGTCATGCCTGTTTCTTCTGTTTTTTGTTTGTGTCGACTACTTGTGTCCTCCTTGTTGTGCTTGTATCCCTGATGTCCTGCTTGTGTCCTGTTTGTACATGTACTCTGTCATCCTACATTCCTGTACACCGTCCTTCATGCCATATGTCCGCCTCTATCCGATTGTTACTACCACATCCCCTACATCCCAATGTCCTCCCTAATACCTTACTCATGGCCAATGTCCTCCTACATCACCTGTCCTCCTTATCCGTATGTCCTCCTGATCCCCCATGTTCTCCTTGTCCCCATGTCCTCCTTATCCATATGTCCTCCTTATCCCCATGTCCTCCTTATCCCTATGTCCTCCTTGTCCCATGTCCTCCTTATCCCTATGTCCTCCTGACCCATATGTCCTCCTTATCCATATGTCCTCCTTATCCCCATGTCCTCCTTGTCCCCAATGTCCTCCTTATCCCTATGTCCTCCTGATCCCTGTCCTCCTAATCCATATGTCCTCCTTATCCCTAGGTCCTCCTGACCCTTATGTCCTCCTTAACCCTATGTCCTCCTGATCCATATGTCCTCCTGATTCCTGTCCTCCTGATCCATATGTCCTCCTTATCCCTATGTCCTCCTTGTCCCCATGTCCTCCTTGTCCCCAATGTCCTCCTTATCCCTATGTCCTCCTCCCTGTCCCTAGATCCATTCCTCCTTATCCCTATGTCCTCCTGATCCTTATGTCCTCCTTAACCCTATGTCCTCCTGATCCATATGTCCTCCTTATCCCTAGGTCCTCCTGACCCTTATGTCCTCCTTAACCCTATGTCCTCCTGATCCATATGTCCTCCTGATTCCTGTCCTCCTGATCCATATGTCCTCCTTATCCCTATGTCCTCCTTGTCCCCATGTCCTCCTTGTCCCCAATGTCCTCCTTATCCCTATGTCCTCCTGATCCCTGTCCTCTAGATCCATATTTCCTCCTTATCCCTAGGTCCTCCTGATCCTTATGTCCTCCTTAACCCTATGTCCTCCTGATCCATATGTCCTCCTGATTCCTGTCCTCCTGATCCATATGTCCTCCTTATCCCATATGTCCTCCTTGTCCCCTTGTCCTCCTTATCCCTATGTCCTCCTGATCCCTGTCCTCCAGATCCATATGTCCTCCTGACCCTTATGTCCTCCTTAACCCTATGTCCTCCTGATCCATATGTCCTCCTGATCCATATGTCCTCCTGATTCCTGTCCTCCTGATCCACATGTCCCCCTTATCCATATGTCCTCCTTATCCATATGTCCTCCTTATCCATATGTCCTCCTGATCCATATGTCCTCCTTATTCATATGTCCTTGTCCCCATGTCGTCCTTATCCCTATGCCCTTGTCCCCATGTCCTCCTTGTCCCATGTCCTCCTGATCCCTGTCCTCCTAATCCATATGTCCTCCTGATTCCTGTCATCCTGATCCACATGTCCTTCTGATCCATATGTCCTCCTTATCCACATGTCCTCCTTATCCCTATGTCCTCCTTGTCCCCATGTCCTCCTTATCCCTATGTCCTCCTTATCCCTATGTCCTCCTGACCCTTATGTCCTCCTTGTCCCTATGTCCCCTTGTCCCCATGTCCTCCTTATCCTTATGTCCTCCTGATCCCTGTCCTCCTAATCCATATGTCCTCCTGATTCCTGTCCTCCTGATCCACATGTCCTGATCCATATGTCCTTCTGATCCATATGTCCTCCTTATCCATATGTCCTCCTGATCCATATGTCCTCTTGACCCTTGTGTCCTCCTTATCCCTATGTCCTCCTTATCCCCATGTCCTACTCATCCCTATGTCCTCCTTATCCCTATGTCCTTCTTATCCATATGTCCTCCTGACCCTTGTGTCCTCCTTATCCCCATGTCCTCCTTATCCCTATGTCCTCCTTATCCCCATGTCCTACTTATCCCTATGTCCTCCTTATCCCTATGTCCTTCTTATCCCTATGTCCTCCTGATCGCCTTGCTTCCTTATCCCTATGTCCTCCTTGTCCCCATGTCCTTTTTATCCCTGTGTCCTCCTTATCCCTATGTCCTCCTTGTCCCTATGTCCTCCTGATCCCCATGTCCTCCTTATCCCTATGTCGTCTATCTAGATTTACACACATGTTAACATAACAAACACAAATGATGGTAATTATTTTTGAAGGTCACAGGTTTGAACCCAGGCCACGTCATACCAAAATATGTTAAAATATGGTACTTGTTGGTCCCTAAATGGTCCTCGGCATTAATGGGTACAACAAGGACTGGTCGGCTCGGAGTCAGTATAATGTGTCTGAGTGGTGTATTCATGCTTAACTGCGACATGGTATCTCAGTGAGCTAGCACTATAAAACCACTTATACACATGCATGCACGTTGATTTATGAGCGAAATATTCTCAAGTACAATGTTAAAGCCTATTTCATCTCACCTCACCCATTGTCCTGGTGTTTTCTGTCACCAAGCAAGCAGCAGAGGTTGTTTGAGAAATATATTGTGCCCCCCAAGTCCCCATAGTGGCACGTCATTATAGGGAAAAAAGCATGGGGTAATATCAGTGAGTGAGTCAGTCAGTGAGTTTAGTTTTACGCCACTCTCAGCAATATTCCAGCTATATGGCGGCGGTCTGTAAATAATCAAGTTTGGACCTGACAATCCAGTGATCAAAAGTATGAGCATCAATCTGTGCAACTGGGAACCGATGACATGTGTCAACCAAGTCAGCGATCCTGACTACCCGATCCCGTTAGTTGCATGGATTACTGAAGATCAATATTCTAACCCGGATCTTCACAGGTTGGGGTAATATCAGGTTTATGTTAGATATATGGTTTGATAAAGGGTTGTTGCATCCTCTATGTCTGTACGGCTTTCATTTTGGCTAATTTATCCTACCCCTGGATCCATTCCTATGGTTTTACCCACCCTTGATTTCCATTTGCCAGTTTGGTTGTCTATACCTCTAGGCTTAACATATCAATCAGAATGCAAGTTACAAACCAGCCTCAATGCTGGGTTGGCAATAACAAGAACATGGCATCTAGTCACACCAATCCTGAACTAGATTGTAAGAAATTCATGATTGAAAACTTGACATAATAACAGAAAGCATTCAAGAATCATTTTGATGGAAAGGTCGCTTCTTGTCCATTTGATTTCAATATGATAAGAGTTACCTCCCTTTCCTTACCTTTCCCTCATGTCAGTGTTTGATCATTAGCTATTAATAAATATCAAAGATAGTAAATTTGTGATCACAAGAATCATGGGAATGGACCTGGAGGGTAGTGTAGGTTTACCATAATACTAGCCGTGGAGATATAGACCTGTTATGTCCTCCCTGCAGGTGGTGGGGATCATCACGCTAGAGGATGTTCTAGAGGAGCTCTTGCAGGAAGAGATCATGGATGAGACGGACGAAACACAGATCCGTCAACGGATACAGCTGGCTAAAGCAATGGCGCACAAAAAGGTATTGTACCAAACTGGGTACTTGGGAACCTGCAGACATTATGCCTGTTAAGTGTATATACCTACACATGACACAGTTTTGGCATCAAGAACTTACCAATCTTTTCACAATGGTCCCTCAGGCTTAGATTGAATCTCCTTTCATAAAGTTTTGTAGATGAATAACAGGGCACCCAAAGCTGTGACCATGGTTATCTTCTGAGGTATTTCATGTAACTATGTTGCTATCATTATTCATGTATTTGACCACCTACATGGTGTAGTGATTAGAGTGTCCGCCCGGAGAGCGAAAGGTTGCAGGTTTCGATCTGTTAAAATATGGTACTTGTTGGACCCTGCCTGGCGCTCAGCATTAATGGGTACAGTGTGTCTGAGTGGAGTATTCATGCATGACTGCAGCATGGTATCTCAGTGAGCTAGAAGTATAAAACTATTAATTCTGGGCTAGTACAGGCAGCCACACATATACACCCATGCACGTCGTCATATGAGCGGAATATTCTTACGTACAACATTAAACCCCATTTCACCTCGCCTCTTCATGTATTCGGTATTATCAGTTTTTGTACCATCATTATATTAACCTTTTTAAACCTTTTCTAAAATGTCTAGAAATGGAATCATTTTCTCAAAATCTATGCATTTCTTTGCTAGACGGACACAATTTTTCTGGAAGTAACTTATCATATACCAAACTGAAATGGACCAAAGGCCTTGTACCGCAATACGTACCGTACCGTGGTAAGAGCATACTGTTTCACCCCTATAGATATGTTGTATTCTGTTTCCAGTCACTGCTGAAGCGGAGTCAGTCCCATCCAGAAGAGTCAAGGGGTCAAATCCAGGCCGGACAAAGCCTAGCTGGACATTCAAGTGAACATTTGAATGTGGATGTTGCCGTAGCAGCTTCACAACGATCCGATGATGCTCCACTGCTGGGGAGTACGGAGGTGTTGGCGTGATGAATGATACATTGAAAAGGAATGTGTGAGTGTCGGTGTGACTGCTCTAAGGGGTGTGGATGTAAGTGTTGGTGTGACAAGTGGGTTATACACAGCTCTAGGGTGTGTGGTTGTAAGTGTTGGTGTGTAAGTGGGTAATACACAGCTCTAGGTGGGGTGGCTGTAAGTGTTGGGGTGACAAGTGGGTAATACACAGCTCTAGGGGGTGTGGATGTAAGTGTTTTTGAGATAAGTGGGTTATACACAGCTCTAGGGTTGGGGCTGTAAGTGTTGGTGTGACAAGTGGGTTATACACATCTCAAGGGGGTGTGGCTGTAAGTGTTAATTTGACAAGTGGGTTATACACAGCTCTAGGGGGGGGTGGATGTAAAAGTGTTGGTGTGACAAGTGGGTAGTACACAGCTCTAGGGGGTGTGGCTGTAAGTGTTGGTGTGACAAGTGGGTTATACACATCTCAAAGGGGTGTGGCTGTAAGTGTTAATTTGACAAGTGGGTTATACACAGCTCTAGGGGGTGTGGCTGTAAGTGTTGGTGTGACAAGTGGGTAATACACAGCTCTAGGGTGTGTGGCTGTAAGTGTTGGGGTGACAAGTGGGTTATACACAGCTCTAGGGTGTGTGGCTGTAAGTGTTGGTGTGACAGTCCTGGGGTGTGTGGCTGTAAGTGTTGTAGTGACAAGTGGGTTATACACAGCTCTTGGGGGTGTGGCTGTAAGTGTTGGTGTGACAAGTGGGTTATACACAGCTCTAGGGGTGGGGCTGTAAGTGTTAGTGTGACAAGTGGGTTATACACATCTCAAGGGTGTGTGGCTGTAAGTGTTAATGTGACAAGTGGGTAATACACAGCTCTAGGGTGTGTGGTTGTAAGTGTTGGGGTGACAAGTGGGTTATACACAGCTCTAGGGGGTGTGGCTGTAAGTGTTGGTGTGACAAGTGGGTAATACACAGCTCTAGGGTGTGTGGCTGTAAGTGTTGGTGTGACAAGTGGGTTATACACAGCTCTAGGGTGTGTGGCTGTAAGTGTTGGTGTGACAGTCCTGGGGTGTGTGGCTGTAAGTGTTGTAGTGACAAGTGGGTTATACACAGCTCTTGGGGGTGTGGCTGTAAGTGTTGGTGTGACAAGTGGGTTATACACAGCTCTAGGGGTGTGGCTGTAAGTGTTAGTGTGACAAGTGGGTTATACACATCTCAAGGGTGTGTGGCTGTAAGTGTTAATGTGACAAGTGGGTAATACACAGCTCTAGGGTGTGTGGTTGTAAGTGTTGGGGTGACAAGTGGGTTATACACAGCTCTAGGGTGTGTGGCTGTAAGTGTTGGTGTGACAAGTGGGTTATACACAGCTCTAGGGTGTGTGGCTGTAAGTGTTGGTGTGACAAGTGGGTTATACACAGCTCTAGGGTGTGTGGCTGTAAGTGTTGGTGTGACAGTCCTGGGGTGTGTGGCTGTAAGTGTTATTGAGATAAGTGGGTTATACACAGCTCTAGGGGTGGGGCTATAAGTGTTGGGGTGACAAGTGGGTTATACACATCTCAAGGGTGTGTGGCTGTACGTGTTGGTGTGGCAAGTGGGTAATAGACAGCCCTAGGGGGTGTGGCTGTAAGTGTTGGGGTGACAAGTGGGTTATACACAGCTCTAAGGGTGGGGCTATAAGTGTTGGTGTGACAAGTGGGTTAGACCCAGCTCTAGGGGGTTTGACAGTGTTGGGGTGACAAGTGGGTTATAAAAATCTGCGGCATGTGTGGCTGTTAGTATTAGTTTGACAGATCTGACACAGAACCCTGGGATGTGTGACTGTGTTTGTTCTGCACTACACATAAAATTATTGAGAACACAAGCCATTCAAGATGTGAGAATACTTACAACAGGAGCTGTACAAGACATGATTATATTGAGGTCATGAGCTGTGCAAGATGTGAGAATACTTACAACAGGAGCTGTACAAGACATGATTATATTGAGGTCATGAGCTGTGCAAGATGTGAGAATACTTACAACAGGAGCTGTACAAGACATGATTATATTGAGGTCTTGAGCTGTACAAAATGTGAGAATATATTCAGGACATGGTTTTGACAAGATCTGAGGATCTGAGGTGTACAATGTGGAGGTCATGAGCTGTACAAAATGTGAGAATATATTCAGGACATGGTTTTGTCAAGATCTGAGGATCTGAGGTGTACAATGTGGAGGTCATGAGCTGTACAAGATGCGAGAATATATTCAGGACATGGTTTTGTCAAGATCTGAGGTGTACAATGTGGAGGACATGAGCTGTACAATGTTTAAGGATTCTGAGTATAAGTTGTTCAGGGTGTTGTATCTTGGCATTTAGTTAACTAAATGTGACTCGCTGCATCGGAAACTGGAGTCATGGGCAGTATTCTGTAGCAATATATTATTTTGTATTGAGTGATATCAGATATAATGATAGGTGATTGTGTGACAGTACATATCAAATGTGGGGCAAACTTGAAAATACTGATTGTGGAATCAATCTAATCTTTTGACTATGTTGAAGGCCCATTAGCCTTTAATAAAGCATACAATTTTATGGATAACAACTTCTTGTTTATGGCATAGAGAGATGTTTCAGTGTAGATTCTTACACCATTTTCAAGCTATAATTGAAGATGGTGTAAGAATCTACACTGAAACATGGCTCTATGCAATAAACAAGAAGTTGTTATCCATATCATATGCTTTATCATTGACTCAACAACTTGTAGACTACCGATCAAACAACCATTAGCCTTTGTTACTTCTTATTACATGTATGTGGGTCCAACTTTTTTGAAAGAAAGAATGAAATAAATGCATATTTGTGTTCAAAGAAATATTTAGCAATATTTGGTATCTGTATTGATGTAATTGTAAATTCTAAGCTGTATCTTGCTGTATGTTCTCATGTTTTTTAGTATGGTGTGTGCCTTCTTTGGGGATTCCCCAAGTTCATGGTACTATGCACAAGAAGTAAACGTTGTCAGCAAGAAGAACACCACTGACGTTAGGAAGGCGGGAACCTTATTTTAAACTGATTGTTAGGCTTAGTTAGAACCCATGATATAGTACATGATTATATTTCTGTGCCCAATTAAGCAGTTACTGTGTTAGTAGGTGTATGGAGGTGCTTTGTGTCAAAGTGATATATGATTCTGTTGTTGAAATAGATTTGTGTTGTACTAAGGGATGTTATGGATGACTGTTTTCCATGAACTCCACTCTACAGAACGTGGTCAGTAGAAGCTCTCAATAAGACTGATTGTGTGACGTGGCAGCCATGTGCTCTATATACAACATGCTAGTCTGTCTCACAGTCCCTGAACCACATTATTTTCCCTACTGCCAAGCCCTCTCTGCAGTGCTAAAGCGCTAAATGAAGCAAGTCTAGATTTCCTCATCTTCAAGTATAAGACAGATGCAGGTCTTTTCACTTCTATTGAACAGATTGTTTCAAAAATATCCTCTTTGCATATTATACAAATGGAAACTTTTGAATTTAGACATAAGTTCAAATTCATAAATAATTTTGTTGGTGTTCCAGATAGATCTTGCACCTTGGTCATCTAGTCTCCAAGTGACATTGTGGGCTGAAAGTTTCCAAACTGTAAAATGTTGGAGATAGGACAGGGCTTAACACGATGGCCAATAAATATGCCTGTCACTTATACCGTTATCTGATGGTTGTATGATATGACTTCTAATTGGTAATGACCCCAGCACGTGTAGCCCCAATGCAGATGTTCTTAGTCTCTGAATGTCTGGTCCTTCTAGGGCTCCTTTTCAATATGAATGGGCTTGTTTGTTACTATCAAAATTATATATATTCAGAGACTAAGCATTAGTCTAACAGCATGCAGGAGGCACAGCAAACCTCTAGCTAGAACACCCAGTGGGCATTGCAGTCTCATTCAACTCAGATGTTAGTTCTTGCTCATGTAAAATATTAATCTGAGGACATCCTGTTAATGGTCAACTCAGAACAATTTTTCACCAAATTAGGCTGACTAATGAAATGACAGACAAGAAGTCACCATCAGAAAACAGTTTTCTTTAGATATATGGCACTTTAAATTGGTGACATTTATTCATGACTACGCTTTGAAATATATACACAAAGAACTTAATTAAGCACCCCTGTATTTTTGCAATGCTATAAAACTTGTGGTGGTGACCACGAAGGAGGTTTTTTGCGCTTATGATCCTTTGACTCATAAAAAACGACATAATGATTGGAATCTGTGTTGATTTTATGATGATAATTGGTCATTTTTAAGAAAACACTGATTTTCATACAAAACTATGTCTGTACAAGTATGGCCCTGGAATGTTTAATGTTGAATTTATTGGTGAATGTGAACATTCAAAATGTCATTTTGTGTGTCTTACACGATTCAAGGTCAATACCGAGTGTAACCTCCTTGTGACTGTATGACAGCCAGCACTCTCCTCCTCATACACCTGTCAGCCTCTTGATCCTCTGAAGGGGAAGTCTACGCCATTCCTCGTATAAAGCAGCTTCCAATTGGGCCAGGTTCTGTACAGGAGATCCCTTTGTTGCACATGACGACCAATCATGTCCCAGATATGCTCCAAAGGGTTAAGATCGGGACGCATTCAGTTGTGAGATATGTCAGGGGTGCTTAACTAAGTTCTTTGTGTATATTTTGGTAAGGTCTTTGAATGGCATTTAGAAGTGATACACATAAGGAAGAGAACTTTATGGATGTCAACTTCTTTATTACGAGGAACACGTTAAGGAGAATATACTCACTCCTTCATCAGGTGAATTCACCTGAACTTATGGCTATCTTACTCCTTCATCAGGTGAATTCACCTGAACTCATGGCTGTCTTACTCCTTCATCAGGTGAATTCACCTGAACTCATGGCTGTCTTACTCCTTCATCAGGTGAATTCACCTGAACTCATGGCTGTCTTACTCCTTCATCAGGTGAATTCACCTGAACTCATGGCTGTCTTACTCCTTCATCAGGTGAATTCACCTGAACTCATGGCTGTCTTACTCCTTCATCAGGTGAATTCACCTGAACTCATGGCTGTCTTACTCCTTCATCAGGTGAATTCACCTGAACTCATGGCTGTCTTACTCCTTCATCAGGTGAATTCACCTGAACTCATGGCTGTCTTTACTCCTTCATCAGGTGAATTCACCTGAACTCATGGCTGTCTTACTCCTTCATCAGGTGAATTCACCTGAACTCATGGCTGTCTTACTCCTTCATCAGGTGAATTCACCTGAACTCATGGCTATCTTACTCCTTCATCAGGTGAATTCACCTGAACTCATGGCTGTCTTGTCTTTACTCCTTCATCAGGTGAATTCACCTGAACTCATGGCTGTCTTACTCCTTCATCAGGTGAATTCACCTGAACTCATGGCTGTCTTACTCCTTCATCGGGTGAATTCACCTGAACTCATGGGCTTGTCTTATCTCCTTCATCAGGTGAATTCACCTCAACTCATGGCTATCTTACTCCTCCGTCAGGTGAATTCACCCGAACTCATGGCTTGTCTTACTCCTTCATCAGGTGAATTCACCTGAACTTATGGCTGTCTTACTCCTTCATCAGGTGAATTCACCTGAACTCATGGCTGTCTTACTCCTTCATCAGGTGAATTCACCTGAACTCACGGCTGTCTTACTCCTTCATCAGGTGAATTCACCTGAACTCATGGCTGTCTTACTCCTTCATCAGGTGAATTCACCTGAACTCATGGCTGTCTTACTCCTTCATCAGGTGAATTCACCTGAACTCATGGCTGTCTTACTCCTTCATCAGGTGAATTCACCTGAACTCATGGCTGTCTTACTCCTTCATCAGGTGAATTCACCTGAACTGAACTCATGGCTGTCTTACTCCTTCATCAGGTGAATTCACCTGAACTCATGGCTGTCTTACTCCTTCATCAGGTGAATTCACCTGAACTCATGGCTATCTTACTCCTTCATCAGGTGAATTCACCTGAACTCATGGCTGTCTTACTCCTTCATCAGGTGAATTCACCTGAACTCATGGCTGTCTTACTCCTTCATCGGGTGAATTCACCTGAACTCATGGCTGTCTTACTCCTTCATCAGGTGAATTCACCTGAACTCATGGCTGTCTTACTCCTCCATCAGGTGAATTCACCTGAACTCATGGCTGTCTTACTCCTTCATCAGGTGAATTCACCTGAACTCTTGGCTGTCTTACTCCTTCATCAGGTGAATTCACCTGAACTCATGGCTGTCTTACTCCTTCATCAGGTAAATTCACCTGAACTCATGGCTGTCTTACTCCTTCATCAGGTGAATTCACCTGAACTCATGGCTGTCTTACTCCTTCATCAGGTGAATTCACCTGAACTCATGGCTGTCTTACTCCTTCATCGGGTGAATTCACCCGAACTCATGGCTGTCTTACTCCTTCATCAGGTGAATTCACCTGAACTCATGGCTGTCTTCTTACTCCTTCATCAGGTGAATTCACCTGAACTCTTGGCTGTCTTACTCCTCCGTCAGGTGAATTCACCTGAACTCATGGCTGTCTTACTCCTTCATCAGGTGAATTCACCTGAACTCATGGCTGTCTTACTCCTTCATCAGGTGAATTCACCTGAACTCATGGCTGTCTTACTCCTTCATCAGGTGAATTCACCTGAACTCATGGCTGTCTTACTCCTTCATCAGGTGAATTCACCTGAACTCATGGCTGTCTTACTCCTTCATCAGGTGAATTCACCTGAACTCATGGCTGTCTTACTCCTTCATCAGGTGAATTCACCTGAACTCTTGGCTGTCTTACTCCTCCGTCAGGTGAATTCACCTGAACTCATGGCTGTCTTACTCCTTCATCAGGTGAATTCACCTGAACTCATGGCTGTCTTACTCCTTCATCAGGTGAATTCACCTGAACTCATTTTACTCCTTCATCAGGTGAATTCTGTCTTACTCCTTCATCGGGTGAATTCACCTGAACTCATGGCTGTCTTACTCTTCTTCATCAGGTGAATTCACCTGAACTTATGGCTCTCTTACTCCTTCATCAGGTGAATTCACCTGAACTCATGGCTGTCTTACTCCTTCATCAGGTGAATTCACCTGAAATGGCTGTCTTACTCCTTCATCAGGTGAATTCACCTGAACTCATGGCTGTCTTACTCCTTCATCAGGTGAATTCACCTGAACTCATGGCTGTCTTATTCCTTCATCAGGTGAATTCACCTGAACTCATGGCTGTCTTACTCCTTCATCAGGTGAATTCACCTGAACTCATGGCTGTCTTACTCCTTCATCAGGTGAATTCACCTGAACTCATGGCTGTCTTACTCCTTCATCAGGTGAATTCACCTGAACTCATGGCTGTCTTACTCCTTCATCAGGTGAATTCACCTGAACTCATGGCTGTCTTACTCCTTCATCAGGTGAATTCACCTGAACTCATGGCTGTCTTACTCCTTCATCAGGTGAATTCACCTGAACTCATGGCTGTCTTATCTCCTTCATCAGGTGAATTCACCTGAACTCATGGCTGTCTTACTCCTTCATCAGGTGAATTCGCCTGAACTCATGGCTGTCTTACTCCTTCATCAGGTGAATTCACCTGAACTCATGGCTGTCTTACTCCTTCATCAGGTGAATTCACCTGAACTCATGGTTGTCTTATTTCCTTCATCAGGTGAATTCACCTGAACTCATGGCTGTCTTACTCCTTCATCAGGTGAATTCACCTGAAACTGTCTGGCTCCTTCTTCCAGGTGAATTTCCTTCATCAGGTGAATTTCACCTGAACTCATGGCTCTCTTTACTCCTTCATCAGGTGAATTCACCTGAACTCATGGCTGTCTTACTCCTTCATCAGGTGAATTCAGCCTGAACTCATGGCTGTCTTACTCCTTCATCAGGTGAATTCACCTGAACTCATGGCTGTCTTACTCCTTCATCAGGTGAATTCACCTGAACTCATGGCTGTCTTACTCCTTCATCAGGTGAATTCACCTGAACTCATGGCTGTCTTACTCCTTCATCAGGTGAATTCACCTGAACTCATGGCTGTCTTACTCCTTCATCAGGTGAATTCACCTGAACTCATGGCTGTCTTACTCCTTCATCAGGTGAATTCACCTGAACTCATGGCTGTCTTACTCCTTCATCAGGTGAATTCGCCTGAACTCATGGCTGTCTTACTCCTTCATCAGGTGAATTCACCTGAACTCATGGCTGTCTTACTCCTTCATCAGGTGAATTCGCCTGATCTCATGGCTGTCTTACTCCTTCATCGATTGAATTCACCTGAACTCATGGCTGTCTTACTCCTTCATCAGGTGAATTCACCTGAACTCATGGCTGTCTTACTCCTTCATCAGGTGAATTCGCCTGAACTCATGGCTGTCTTACTCCTTCATCAGGTGAATTCACCTGAACTCATGGCTGTCTTACTCCTTCATCAGGTGAATTCACCTGAAATGGCTGTCTTACTCCTTCATCAGGTGAATTCACCTGAACTCATGGCTGTCTTACTCCTTCATCAGGTGAATTCACCTGAACTCATGGCTGTCTTACTCCTCCGTCAGGTGAATTCACCTGAACTCATGGCTGTCTTACTCCTTCATCAGGTGAATTCACCTGAACTCATGGCTGTCTTACTCCTTCATCGGGTGAATTCACCTGAACTCATGGCTGTCTTACTCCTTCATCAGGTGAATTCGCCTGATCTCATGGCTGTCTTACTCCTTCATCGATTGAATTCACCTGAACTCATGGCTGTCTTACTCCTTCATCAGGTGAATTCACCTGAACTCATGGCTGTCTTACTCTCCTTCATCAGGTGAATTCACCTGAACTCATGGCTGTCTTACTCCTTCATCAGGTGAATTCACCTGAAATGGCTGTCTTACTCCTTCATCAGGTGAATTCACCTGAACTCATGGCTGTCTTACTCCTTCATCAGGTGAATTCACCTGAACTCATGGCTGTCTTACTCTCCTCTTCATCAGGTGAATTCACCTGAACTCATGGCTGTCTTACTCCTTCATCAGGTGAATTCACCTGAACTCATGGCTGTCTTACTCCTTCATCAGGTGAATTCACCTGAACTCATGGCTGTCTTACTCCTTCATCAGGTGAATTCACCTGAACTCATGGCTGTCTTACTCCTTCATCGATTGAATTCACCTGAACTCATGGCTGTCTTACTCCTTCATCAGGTGAATTCACCTGAACTCATGGCTGTCTTACTCCTTCATCAGGTGAATTCAGGAGTAAGTATATTCTACGTTGTGTATGGTATGTTTGATCCAAACAGATATGTATTGTCTGTTTCATCTTATCACAAGTGTTATAATGTTTGTTTATACAGCCAACTATTATTGTCTATTTCATCTTGTCAAACGTGTTATATTATCTGGTTCAATTTATCACAGGCGCTGTATTGTCTATATCAATTTGTCAAAAGAGTTATATTATCTGTTTATCCAGCCAAATATTTTTCATCTTGTCAAATGTTATATTATCTCATTCATCTTATCACTAGTGTTGTACAGTCTGTTTTGTGTAATCAGAAGTGTTATAGTGTCTGTTTATCCAGCCAAACATTATTGTCTATTTCACATAATTAAAAGTGTAATATTATCTCGTTCATCTTATCGTAAGTGTTGTTTTAACTGGTTCATCTAATCACAAGTGTTGTATTGTCCGTTTCATCAAATCGCAAATGTTGTGTGTTTCCTTAAGTAACAATGTTGTATCTGACATAGATGGGGCATAGACGCAGCCGCTGGTTGTAAAGGCTTTGTCAAACCTCAGGATAGGATACCAGTATATTTCATTCTTCATTAAAACCTTGGACGTTGGGGTGCCATGGGCGAGCTGGCTAAAGCGCCAGGCAAGTGATCCAGCGAGGTTGAGGTGTCTGGATCAAGCCCACCTGTGACCGGGTGTAAAAACCTTGGAGTCATCTTTGTGTGCAGACTCTTTCAGTGTTGTCACAACCCCTAGTGTACAGTACACAACCCTGTGCACTTAATAGAACCCACGAATCCGTTGGTATATGACCAGATGGTGGCCACATGAATACATTCAAACACCTAGTTGCGGGTACAGAAAAGTGCAGTGAACTTGGACAAAGTACTGTGACTATGTGTCCCTGTCCACCCGGCTGTGAATGGGTACCTCGTTAGGATGAGAAAGCCACAATAGCTCGGTGCACCTAGTGGCTGCAAGAGTTGTATACTCCCCAAGGAGTTGAGACTGCTAACACGATGTGCCCTTGAGATTGACATCCAATGATTGAGGGAAAAAAAATACCAGCGCCTTGAGCATGCACTAGTTGCCTGGATATGTGCGCTATATAAATATCCCATAATAATAATATTATTTGGTGCAGATTTCTCCAAATCAACTGTATCTAGGCAATGAAACCTATTACTAGTATCCAATGGCGTCATGTTCATAGCCATGACGTCACTTAACAATTGAAAAGTTGTATTCCTTTTGTTTTTCACTGATGAAAATAAGGTTGTTATTCAACTTGAAAACCCCCAGTATTATACTTCCAGTATATATGCATATATTGTTTTTTACTATCGGTTCTTTATAGATACGAGTACGGACTGTATATATACAAATATATAATAAAAATGTGAACTGATCACTTGGCTTGCTTTTCTTGTAGCTGCACCATGACCTGTTGAAATTCCTGGACAGGGTCAGGCCACATAGCCACCCTCGAACCCCAATACTTCAAAGATCAGTGACCAGACACCATTAGAGTAAATATTTTTCTGTTGGGTCAATCAATAATGAGCCTTGTCGTAAATGAAGACAGTGTCCATTACAGTGTACACAATGTCTTTAGTTGCCATGGTTACTAGAACATTTACAGAAATAGATGTTGATGACCGTATGTATTTTATCTCCATAGAAGCAGCAAGACGGGTCTTCTGTACATGGAGTGAAGAAGTGGAGAATACTGAGAAGACATTCTCGGAATAAATTACTGTCTCCACACTTATACACAAACAAATACAAATTCTGGCAACAATTTTATTACTCTGTTTATACTCATGTGGTAGTTTAGGATATTTCGGGTAAAGTTCAAGTTCTATTTGGGGTTGGGTTAATATAACATGGGTTATTAGTGTGTTCTCAGCTATGCTGATATGCATAGCCACAACACACCTGGCAGGTTGTGCCTGGCATGTGCAGCACATGCACTGCCTGCCTCTAGCCCTATAAAGGGAGTAGCTTCACAGCACTCCTTGTCTTTAGTCCACTGGTTCACCAGGGGTGAGGACATTTATTTCAGTTGCTTGAGTCCTGGTAATCCAGACCAAGTATATAGGGTTTTTGGGTTACATAAGAAATTAAGATATTTATTTGTTTTGTACATAGGCTCAGAAATCAGAGCCATGTCTCGTTAGGGTTTGGGGTTAGGTTAGGTTGTTAGGTTAGGATAGGTTTAGGTTTTTGTAAATAAATTATTGAGTTTCTCTTTTCTATTTGTTATGTTTTTACCAGCAATGAGGCCTGATTCATAGAGCCTACTTCGTATGTATTTTATCTCTATAGAAGCAGCAAGACAGGTCTTCTGTACATGGAGTGGAGAGGTGGAGAATACTGAGACGATATTCTCGGAACAAATTACTGTCTCCACAGGTCTGAATCATTCATACAAGACTGGGTTTGTCAGTGGAATCAATATGTATTAGCCAATTCACCCTTCCACGATTGTCTGACATTGATAAACTATAGCCCGACTAAACTCTGCTGTTCAGGTGACATTAATATATTTCATTATACAGGCAAAACACAGGTAAGGACACCTAAAATAGTTTTATATATGGCCTAAACTTGAATGTAAGCCGCTGTATTGGAACCACTTCTTGGAGTAGGAAGTGAGAAGAAATATGGGCAAATAACTCATTTAGTACAGTTAGGAGCGGCGTTTCCGTGTAGGTTCCAACACTGTTGTCAAGTGATGATGTAGTTAATGAAGGATGAGAAGCTCATATAGAAGTATGAGGTTGAGTTGATTAGACTGGGGTGTGGTCCCAGTATCAAATATCACAATACACAGCAACATATATAATGTATTATTGGGTAAAGCACGTACGTACTGTAAATGCCATTTGTTAATGATACGTACAGGCATGGCGGTGTAATGAGGAAAAAATACATTGACAATATGGCTGCCGCGGCGGCCATGTTTAATTTGGAATTATGTGAACACTTTCTAGATACATAGCTGTGATCATATTCATAACATGTATGCTTCGTAGGCCTCTTGGGTTCAGGGTTTGTGGGAAATGCTGTTAAACAGGATTCACGGGTATGTGAGAATGTCCGGCCATAGCTGGGTAATCAATAGACATCTGAGATTTTAGAAAAACTAAATGTTTTAGAAATACTGTACTCATACTTGAACAATTTGAGCTTTATCTGGTGTTGCGACTGAGAGTATGAAAGCTGACAAATGACGATGTTCAGGTGGGCTAACACAAGGTACCTATATCTACGCATTAGTTAGGGTGTAATGACATTTTCCAGATTCAGATTTGACATTGGCACCGGGCGTTTCAGGTCAACACAGCTTCACACAATCGTTTGCTTTGAATTCGGGAACGCTTTACTATACTACCCATCAAAAGTTTAGACTCACTTAAAGCACTCACTATATGTTATGTATATGTATGTGGTTACATCGAAGATGAATTTCTCCACCAACTTGGGGGAACCAACTGAAAACCTTATGCAGATGAATTGCACAAGGATGATGCTTCAAATTGCGAAAGGCATGAGCAAATGTCGTGCATGTGAACAGATGCGTTTTGGTGTAAAGTTTTGTTAAGAATTCGCCAATTTTCACAGATTTTAATCATTTACTGAACTCATGACAATAATCTTTTCAATGTTACGAATATGTTTTACAATACACCAGTTCATAACTAAACAGTACCTTTAAACAGTATGGAATATTTTGCAAAAAGCTACTTTAGAACAGTGGACAAGTAAGTGGCTACATTTACACTAGTGAGTCTAAACTTTTGATGGGTAGTATATTTCAATAGGTTAAGTATTCTTGTGACCCGAGTCAGCATATGGACCCAATTCATAGTCATCGTGCCGGATTGTTTATCCAGGTACTGCATTTGGTTCCAGGTTTTTGTAGTCCCGAGTTGTTTACAGTCTGTACAATGCTGACTTCTACCATGGACTTGTCTCTTGTGACCACCGAATAACGTTTGCCCATTTGTGTTTTGTGTTACATATTACATTCACAACATTTATATACGTGTCTTCTGTGTTCACCCTATTACCTTTGTGCATTCGTCTATTGTGTTCTCAATATTTCATTGGCTCATTCGTCTTCAGTGTTCTTAAAATAACATTGGCGCATTCGTCATTTGTGTTCAGCATAATACCTTGGTACATTCGTCATTTGTGTTCAGCATAATACCTTGGTACATTCGTCATTTGTGTTCGCCATATTACCTTGGTACACTCTTCATTTGTGTTCGCCATATTACGTATACTCTTCATTTGTGTTCGCCATATCACGTATACTCTTCATTTGTGTTCGCCATAGTACCTTGGTACATTCGTCATTTGTGTTTGCCATACTTCCTTGGTACATTTGTCACTTGTGTTCACCATATTACCTTGGTACATACACGTTTGTGTTCACCAAATCACCTTGGTACATTCACTTTTGTGTTCACCACATAACATGGGTACATTTGTCTCTTGTGACCACCGCAAAACGCCATGCCCGACGGCCAATTTTGGGATCTAATGGAGCGACGTTTACAACGGCGAAGGTGCCAGGTCTGCATGAATGCACAAGGTGGACACACACACTACTGATCGTGTACACATGCTTGTGAAGCCCCTCTAGTGTTAAGGCTCATTTGCATATGCCAGGTGCGCTTTTCTTATGGATTGTTCTTCGTTACCACACCTGGAAACATTTGTCTTCATATGTAATAACATTTCATTAGCGACAGTAAAAGCTTCACACTGATTCTCTGTGTGTATGTGTCACAATATGTTTTGCCTTTGAGTATATATTAAGTTTCAATGTTTGTCATATGGAACAAGACTATCCCGCTCTTCACTGGCCAAAGCAAAACCTTCCTTTAATTTGATCATTATAAAGTTGAACACAGCCTTCCACGCGTCCTTCACCTCTTCCGTGAAATGTCCCTTCAGCTCTTCCTCCCAGGTCAAGGTCATTGATTTGGTAAATGCGTCGAAGTTTTCCGGAATAAAACCATTGAAATTGATATGCTGGCGCCCCAAGCCAACCAACAGGGGAGACAGTGACGTGTCAAGGTCATCCATGTTGTCAACGACAGCACCAACGGCCTGCATGAAACGTGACGCGTGTCCTTTGAAATTTGGATCCTGTAGCAACTCCTTGCCTTCCTTGTGGCGACATGGAAACAGCTGCTTCGCGTTAGGGTACAGCTCAAAGATGCGGATGAAGACCTTACTGCCAATCCCTGTCATATCTCCCGCCAGATAACGCCATGTCCTTTGTACCAACATGCGTTGTTGCCCAGTGATGTAACGTTCATTAGGAGATGTTGCTGTTTTCTTCAGAGACGTTCCACAACCCATGCTGACCTTGAATAAAAGATTTTAAGTTAAGGCACCATGTCCCGTATGACAAGTTTCAGTGTTTACACCCTCAACCCGCAAGATGTTAAGTTATGACACCATGTCCCGTATGACAAGTTTCAGTGTTTACACCCTCAACCCGCAAGATGTTAAGTTATGACACCATGTCCCGTATGACAAGTTTCAGTGTTTACACCCTCAACCCGCAAGATGTTAAGTTATGACACCATGTCCCGTATGACAAGTTTCAGTGTTTACACCCTCAGCCCGCAAGATGTTAAGTTATGACACCATGTCCCGTATGACAAGTTTCAGCGTTTACACCCTCAACCCGCAAGATGTTAACGTATGACACCATGTCCCGTATGACAAGTTTCAGTGTTTACACCCTCAACCCGTAAGATGTGAAGTTATGACACCATGTCCCGTATGACAAGTTTCAGTGTTTACACCCTCAACCCGCAAATGTTAAGTTAAGACACCATGTCCCGTATGACAAGTTTCAGTGTTTACACCCTCAGCCCGCAAGATGTTAAGTTATGACACCATGTCCCGTATGACAAGTTTCAGTGTTTACACCCTCAACCCGCAAGATGTTACGTTATGACACCATGTCCCGTATGACAAGTTTCAGTGTTTACACCCTCAACCCGCAAGATGTTAAGTTAAGACACCATGTCCCGTATGACAAGTTTCAGTGTTTACACCCTCAACTCGCAAGATGTTAAGTTATGACACCATGTCCCGTATGACAAGTTTCAGTGTTTACACCCTCAACCCGCAAGATGTTAAGTTATGACACCATGTCCCGTATGACAAGTTTCAATGTTTACACCCTCAACCCGCAAGATGTTAACTTATGACACCATGTCCCGTATGACAAGTTTCAGTGTTTACACCCTCAACCCGCAAGATGTTAAGTTAAGACACCATGTCCCGTATGACAAGTTTCAGTGTTTACACCCTCAACCCGCCTGTCTCTGATGTAAGAATCCTTTGCCGGCATGCTTAAACGTTAAAAGAATGTACTTGGTGCCTGGTAGGCTGACAGCCAGTATACTGTGTGAATGCGGTGTCCTTGTCAGCTGAAACACGGATCTCAGTGATCGAGCGCATTATAATCTGTATCTGTCCGTGCTAGTACAAATGCAATAATGTTGGACATGAGGTAATACCTTAATGCACCTCATCTGAATTAAGACATTAAACGTAGACCAACAATCTGAGGCAAAGCTATCAGTGTAGCCCCACGTTCTAAAGCAAAGGTTTTTTAAGTTATGGATTTAAACTTACTTCCAGACAAAGTTAGTCGTATATAATGATATCCATTCGCCACTTCCTTATTCAGGCAGCGGGACTTCACAAGGCTGTGTTATCCTGCTTGCTCTGTCCTAAATATGTAGGATTTGTCTTTTACGATACAGACAGCTGTTTTCACAGAATATGGAAAGGATCCTGTCATTACAGCAGCAAAATTTACTGATTTTCCGCAAGCAGACTTTAGTAGTACCTGAAGTCATCCACTGAAATAAATCCCCAATTGTCGAGTGCTGTTTTTCAAACTCCGATTTACGTCTCTATGTTGCTGGGTCTTTCCATGTCTCTTACGTAAATCATCAATTCTTTTGTTTCTTTCCTGTCCATTATCAACATTGCTGATGGGAGATTTACGATGTAAAACACATTTCATTTGGGATAATAAAGTATTGATAGATTCTTGAACCATACCTAATGAACCCTCCCGTTGCCCCCTTTAGTACAGCTACTGAAAGTAGATCCACAGTCCATCGGACGTCTTCGGATTGAGATGTTTCTAGTAATGCATTTCCATCATTTAGTTAACAATGTCAACAGAATTTGTCACCCGCCCTTGAGTGATTTGCAATATGACAGCGAGTGATTCACAACATGACAACGAATGATTCACCACATGATGAGTCATTCACCACATGACAGCGAGTGATTCACAGCATGATAGCGAGTGATTCACAACATGACAACGAGTCATTCACCTCATGACAACGAGTGGTTCACAACATGACAGCAAGTGATTCACAACATGACAACGAGTGATTCACAACATGACAACGAGTGATTCACAACATGACAACGAGTGATTCACGACATGACAGCGAGTGATTCACGACATGACAACGAGTGATTCACAACATGACAACGAGTGATTCACCACACGACAACGAGTGATTCACCACATGACATCCACCATTGTAATGATGGCAGAAAGTTTAGGGTGATCTAAGGTAGATCTGAGAACCAGGATTCTGAGGCCTTACTGTTTGACTTACCCTGTAAGCTGATCCGAAAATGTCTCTGAACTTTCACACAACCATACTGCAGCCTTCTTCCTCTCACGTGTTGCCCATTAGCACAGATAGTTGATGTCGTGACGTGTTGTTGCAGTACTCCTGTCCTGGTGGTTCCCCACCTGTCCTCTGGCATGTACGTAACGCCCCCGACAGCATGTACTACATCAAGACGACCTCTCCCCGGTAACAGCCTCCTCTGACATAAAAGCTTTCTCTGGTTAATAAACAATTAGACGTAATTACTTTCCTCCCGGTCGGAGGACACTGTTCACGTATATTGATGAAATAAAGTGCAGCGTGCAATAATGAATAAAGCTGTTCTGCACTGTTTTGAGTTTAACGTTTGCACATGTTGGGTAATGTTTATAACGTCTGTTACGATCCCAGGATTAAGATCTCAGTACTTCACCTCAATCCCCACCCCGTTCAACGCCCAACCCCACGCCAGACACTGGGTATTTTGATATACGCTTAACATGTTTGGCCGGACGTAAGATATTGCATTCCTGCGCATCATAATTCATAGTAAAGGATTTAGTTCCAACTATTTCTATTCAATCGATTTATTTCGTTTCGGTCTAAAATTGTAAGTGTAAGGAATACTTCATATCCGATTTGTTCTTGGCACGCATGTTATATCTGAGGCCTATAGTATCATAACTGCAGTAGCTACTACCATAGCTGAGGCCGATATTATCATAGCTGAGGCCCACATTGTCATAACTGCCATAGCTGAGGCCGATATTATCATAGCTGAGGCCCATATTATCATAACTACCATAGCTGAGGCCGATATTATCATAGCTGAGGCCCATAGTATCATAACTGCAATAGCTACAACCATAGCTGAGACCCATATTATCATAGCTGAGGCCCACATTGTCATAACTGCCATAGCTGAGGCCGATATTATCATAGCTGAGGCCCACATTGTCATAACTACCATAGCTGAGGCCGATATTATCATAGCTGAGGCCCATAGTATCATAACTGCAATAGCTACAACCATAGCTGAGACCCATATTATCATAGCTGAGGCCCACATTGTCATAACAGCAATAGCTACTACCATAGCTGAGACCGATATTATCTTAGCTGAGGCCCACATTGTCATAACTGCAATAGCTACTACCATAGCTGAGACCGATATTATCATAGCTGAGGCCCACATTGTCATAACAGCAATAGCTACTACCATAGCTGAGACCGATATTATCATAGCTGAGGCCCACATTGTCATAACTGCAATAGCTACTACCATAGCTGAGACCGATATTATCATAGCTGAGGCCCACATTGTCATAACTGCAATAGCTACTACCATAGCTGAGACCGATATTATCATAGCTGAGGCCCACATTGTCATAACTGCAATAGCTACTACCATAGCTGAGACCCATATTATCATAGCTGAGGCCCATATTATCATAGCTGAGGCCCATATTATCATAACTGCAATAGCTACTACCATAGCTGAGACCGATATTATCATAGCTGAGGCCCACATTGTCATAACTGCAATAGCTACTACCATAGCTGAGACCGATATTATCATAGCTGAGACCCATATTATCATAGCTGAGGCCCATATTATCATATCTGAGGCCTATAGTATCATAACTGCAATAGCTACTACCATAGCTGAGACCCATATTATCATAGCTGAGACCCATATTATCATAGCTGAGGCCCATATTATCATAACTGCAATAGCTACTACCATAGCTGAGACCGATATTATCATAGCTGAGGCCCACATTGTCATAACTGCAATAGCTACTACCATAGCTGAGACCGATATTATCATAGCTGAGGCCCACATTGTCATAACTGCCATAGCTGAGGCCGATATTATCATAGCTGAGGCCCACATTGTCATAACTACCATAGCTGAGGCCGATATTATCATAGCTGAGGCCCATAGTATCATAACTGCAATAGCTACAACCATAGCTGAGACCCATATTATCATAGCTGAGGCCCACATTGTCATAACAGCAATAGCTACTACCATAGCTGAGACCGATATTATCATAGCTGAGGCCCACATTGTCATAACTGCAATAGCTACTACCATAGCTGAGACCGATATTATCATAGCTGAGGCCACATTGTCATAACTGCAATAGCTACTACCATAGCTGAGACCGATATTATCATAGCTGAGGCCCACATTGTCATAACTGCAATAGCTACTACCATAGCTGAGACCCATATTATCATAGCTGAGGCCCACATTGTCATAACAGCAATAGCTACTACCATAGCTGAGACCCATATTATCATAGCTGAGGCCCACATTGTCATAACAGCAATAGCTACTACCATAGCTGAGTCCGATATTATCATAGCTGAGGCCTATAGTATAATAACTGCAATAGCTACTACCATAGCTGAGTCCGATATTATCATATCTGAGGCTCATAGTATCATAACTGCAATAGCTACTACCATAGCTGAGACCGATATTATCATAGCTGAGACCGATATTATCATAGCTGAGGCCCATAGTATCATAACTGCAATAGCTACTACCATAGCTGAGACCGATATTATCATAGCTGAGGCCCATAGTATCATAACTGCAATAGCTACTACCATAGCTGAGACCCATATTATCATAGCTGAGGCCTATAGTATCATAACTGCAATGGCTACTACCATAGCTGAGACCGATATTATCATAGCTGAGGCCCATAGTATCATAACTGCAATAGCTACTACCATAGCTGAGGCCGATATTATCATAGCTGAGGCCCATATTATCATAACTGCAATAGCTACTACCATAGCTGAGACCCATATTATCATAGCTGAGGCCCATATTATCATAACTGCAATAGCTACTACCATAGCTGAGTCCGATATTATCATAGCTGAGGCCCACATTGTCATAACTGCAATAGCTACTACCATAGCTGAGACCGATATTATCATAGCTGAGGCCCACATTGTCATAACTGCCATAGCTGAGGCCGATATTATCATAGCTGAGGCCCATATTATCATAACTACCATAGCTGAGGCCGATATTATCATAGCTGAGGCCCATAGTATCATAACTGCAATAGCTACAACCATAGCTGAGACCCATATTATCATAGCTGAGGCCCACATTGTCATAACTGCCATAGCTGAGGCCGATATTATCATAGCTGAGGCCCACATTGTCATAACTACCATAGCTGAGGCCGATATTATCATAGCTGAGGCCCATAGTATCATAACTGCAATAGCTACAACCATAGCTGAGACCCATATTATCATAGCTGAGGCCCACATTGTCATAACAGCAATAGCTACTACCATAGCTGAGACCGATATTATCTTAGCTGAGGCCCACATTGTCATAACTGCAATAGCTACTACCATAGCTGAGACCGATATTATCATAGCTGAGGCCCACATTGTCATAACAGCAATAGCTACTACCATAGCTGAGACCGATATTATCATAGCTGAGGCCCACATTGTCATAACTGCAATAGCTACTACCATAGCTGAGACCGATATTATCATAGCTGAGGCCCACATTGTCATAACTGCAATAGCTACTACCATAGCTGAGACCGATATTATCATAGCTGAGGCCCACATTGTCATAACTGCAATAGCTACTACCATAGCTGAGACCCATATTATCATAGCTGAGGCCCACATTGTCATAACAGCAATAGCTACTACCATAGCTGAGACCCATATTATCATAGCTGAGGCCCACATTGTCATAACAGCAATAGCTACTACCATAGCTGAGACCCATATTATCATAGCTGAGGCCCACATTGTCATAACAGCAATAGCTACTACCATAGCTGAGTCCGATATTATCATAGCTGAGGCCTATAGTATAATAACTGCAATAGCTACTACCATAGCTGAGTCCGATATTATCATATCTGAGGCTCATAGTATCATAACTGCAATAGCTACTACCATAGCTGAGACCGATATTATCATAGCTGAGGCCGATATTATCATAGCTGAGGCCTATAGTATCATAACTGCAATGGCTACTACCATAGCTGAGACCGATATTATCATAGCTGAGGCCCATAGTATCATAACTGCAATAGCTACTACCATAGCTGAGACCCATATTATCATAGCTGAGGCCTATAGTATCATAACTGCAATGGCTACTACCATAGCTGAGACCGATATTATCATAGCTGAGGCCCATAGTATCATAACTGCAATAGCTACTACCATAGCTGAGGCCGATATTATCATAGCTGAGGCCCATATTATCATAACTGCAATAGCTACTACCATAGCTGAGACCCATATTATCATAGCTGAGGCCTATAGTATCATAACTGCAATGGCTACTACCATAGCTGAGACCGATATTATCATATCTGAGGCCTATAGTATCATTACTGCAATGGCTACTACCATAGCTGAGACCGATATTATCATAGCTGAGGCCCATAGTATCATAACTGCAATAGCTACTACCATAGCTGAGGCCCATATTATCATAGCTGAGGCCCATATTATCATAACTGCAATAGTTACTACCATAGCTGAGACCGATATTATCATATCTGAGGCTCATAGTATCATAACTGCAATAGCTACTACCATAGCTGAGACCGATATTATCATAGCTGAGGCCCATAGTATCATAACTGCAATAGGTACTACCATAGCTGAGGCCCACATTGTCATAACTGCAATAGCTACTACCATAGCTGAGACCGATATTATCATAGCTGAGGCCCACATTGTCATAACAGCAATAGCTACTACCATAGCTGAGACCGATATTATCATAGCTGAGGCTCACATTATCATAACTGCAATAGCTACTACCATAGCTGAGGCCGATATTATCTTAGCTGAGGCTCACATTATCATAACTGCAATAGCTACTACCATAGCTGAGACCGATATTATCATAGCTGAGGCCCATATTATCATAACTGCAATAGCTACTACCATAGCTGAGACCGATATTATCATATCTGAGACCCCAACTACCCTAGCTGAGACCCATATTATCATATTTGAGACCCGTTTTATCATACATGAGGCCCATATTATCATATCTGACACTTAAACTATCACAGCTGAGACCCTTATCATAGCTGAGGCCCACATTGTCATAACTGCAATAGCTACTACCATAGCTGAGACCGATATTATCATATATTAGGCCCATATTATCATATCTGACACTTGAACTATCACAGCTGAGACCCATATTATCATACCCGAGACATCAACTATCACAACTTAGACCTCAACTATCATAGGTGAGACCAGTATTATTATAGCTGAGACACGTATTATCATACTTGAGACCCCTACTATCATCATGCATGAGACCCCAACTGTTCTATCGTAGAACTATCGAGAGGTCCCTGGACCAGAAATAGAGAAACCCAGGTAGAAAAAACACACTATGTTTAACGAACAAATGGAGTTAATTACGGATCTCTTCCTCTTATCGTCATCACTTCCGATTGATTGGAAATCGAAACCCACTTGTCATGGCAAACATATAATTTGGGCGACAGACTCCGGTAAAAGGTTTAGCAAATTGTTCAGCAAAGGAGTTCCGTAAATCAAATGTGGACAGAATACAGTGAAAACACCTCCGTAGAATCACCTCTGTGCAGACAGTGTGTGTGTGAAAGACCTGAGAGAGAGAGAGAGAGAGAGAGAGAGAGAGAGAGAGAGAGAGATGAGAGAGAGAGAGAGAGAGAGAGAGAGAGAGAGAGAGAGAGAGAGATGCATGCAGTTTGTGTGTAGACTGTACGTTTGTGTGTAGACTGTACGTTTGTGCGTGAGTGTGTAATGTGTGCGTGTGCTTCGTGCTGTTTTGTGGTGTTCGTTTTTTGTGCATTTTCGATGTGTTTTATGGTTTCCTTTTTTCTGGGTGTGGGATTGTGGATGTCACATTCAATATTATATAATAATGAACGCGACTTCTTGGTGTATATCCGTACTCCTTCATCAGGTGAATTACAAGCTTGGAAGCGGAGAGCTTATATGTGTACATATGGGAACAACATGGACGTATGGACGGAGCCTAAACCTATATCCCGCTCCACCTATTGGCACCAAGCGGTGATGATGTAAGAAGTGGAGGACTTTTTTACACGCCATGTCCACGTCAAACGTGCATTATTAAATTCGTAACGGTTTTTTATTGCAACAAAACGCACATATTCTTTTTTGACTTAGTGACATAATGAAATACGAAAACCGGAATCAATAATTATATAATGATATATTTTGCAAGTGTCCCACGGCAATAGTCTTTGACTACCCACTCAGTCACGACTAGTGTATGTACAGTGTCATTGTACCAACTTCCCAAAATGCATCAGCGGTGTCCTTTATCAAAATCATACCAATATCATTTGTAAATAGTTCTAAACATACATAGAAACACAAAACGCAAGCGCAAAAGAACACCCAGTTTCGACTCTCCAAAGATACAGATTCCATTGGGTGAAATGGGGTAAATTTAAAAAATTAAAAATTATGTGAATGGATTACTGGAAATCAGAGATGACATCAGGTGTAATGAAAAGGATAAGTGTGTTGTGTCCTACAGGTAACACCCGCCATTCATAACATTTGCAAAATGGTAAGTATCTAGACGACAGCGACCTGTAAACAAACCAGATAATCAAGTGATCACTGGAACAGAACATTCAGTTGTTATGTGTGAATGAGGAGTGTTGTGTAGCGTTGTGTGATTGACGTTGTGTGATTGATGTTGTGTGATTGACGTTGTGTTATTGAGGTTGTGTGATTGACGTTGTGAGATTGACGTGTGATTGAGGTGTGACTGACGTTGTGAGATTGACGTTGTGAGACTGACGTTGTGTGATAGACGTTGTGAGATTGACGTGTGATTGAGGTGTGACTGACGTTGTGAGATTGACGTTGTGAGACTGACGTGATTGACGTTGTGAGATTGACGTTGTGGGATTGACGTGTGATTGACGTTGTGTGATTGACGTTGTGAGATTGACGTTGTGAGATTGACGTTGTGAGATTGAAGTTGTGAGATTGACGTTATGTGATTGACGTTGTGAGCAGAGATTCCTCTGTGAAGGAAAATGTTCTGGAAATAGATTTGTCTTACAATAGTTCGGGGCATAAGTAAAATGTGAAAGTGAGAGAGTGAGTTTACTTTACGCCGCTTTTAGCATTGTTCCAGCAATATCACGATGGGAGACACCAGAAATGGGCTTCACACATTGTACCTATGTGGGGAATCGAACCCGGGTCTTCGGCGTGACGAGCGAACGCTTTAACCACTAGGCTACCCCGCTGCCCCTAAAATGTGAAACAGTGATGCAAAGATGATTTACAGGTTATATTATCCACAGATTTACTTGTCAAAGGTCCAAATAAGGATTCTAGACCAGAAGTACCCTACATAGATGACGAATGAGGATTGGGTGGTCACTTAGGACTTAATTTGCAATCTCATTAGTCTGTCTCACAGTCCCTGAACCACATTATTTTCACTACTGCCTATCCCTCCCTGCAATGCTAAAGCCCTAAACGAAGCAAGTCTACATTTCCCCAGGTCTGAATCTGTGGTCTCCCTGGGGCTCCTTTTCAATTTATATGGGAACGCGTCACAATTGAATTCTGGAAACCAAAAAGTCCAGAAACTCTCCGCACTGTGGCCACTTTCTGACAAAGTATTTGACAAATTTCAACATGCAGTTGTCATGAATATATATGTTAAGGATGAAAAAATGAAAATAATGTTTTTCGAAAACTCTAAATTTAAACTCGCTCGCCCGTGGAGTTTATTTGGTACAATCAAAATCATATATTCAGAGACTAAGCGTTAGTCTACAGTTTGATGTGATATAACCGCATTACTGCATTACGTCGGAAAACAGCATCTACTCACCCACTGCGAAGTGCAAGAAGCTGAAGGGTGTGGTTTCTAATTTTCGCTGTGTGTTGTTGAGTGAACGTCATTGATATCATTAGCAATTTTCAGTTTACTTAAAGTAAGTCACACGAGTTAACCTTCTCTGTGGTGTTAATGAAACGAGATCCGAAAACACAAACAGAACGCTTGAGTTGACGTGCGGGAGCTTCAGGTAAAATAAATAAGCTCGTATATTGTCGGATTTCGATCCCGTTTACATTACTCCCCACAATCAATATCTGTTTTTTCCCAAAGCACAGACTACTTCCTACCTATCAAATCAGGCAGAAAGAGTATCATGGGATATTGATCATAGTTTTATATATGGCTTCCGTGTTGGTCATGTATTGTTAGGAGTATTACAACGTATCTCCAAGAACAGAGAAAAGTCTTATCTCAATAACTAAATCAACTTCTTAAGAGTGAAAAGGGCGGTGGGGTAGCCTAGTGGTTAAAGTGTTCGCTCGTCACGGGTGCGATTCCCCACATGGTTACAGTATGTGAAGCCCAGGGCCTCCTTTCACAACACAAAGCACTAAGGTGATCGTAAGTCACTAAGGTAACCTTATAATGTTAAAGAATGGGAGTTAAGGTGAATCTTAGTAAAGGTTGCTTCGTGAAAGGAGCCCCTGGTGTCCCTGCCGTGATATTGCTGGAATGTTGCTAAAACTAAACTCACTCACTCACTGAAGTGCAGTGAAACGGATTTAACGTCGCGTTTTTAAGATGAATATATTTTACTCATACTGCGACATGCATGCACGTGTCGAGGAAACATTACACCAAGTGTGTGGTCCTGTGTCCGTCGTTTTGATCAGGAGTCAAAACCTCACAGGAAATAGTGGAAACAGTTGGCCACTCTCCCACCCACGACGTACAAGCGGATGGGGTACTTGGGGGAAGTCGTGTTTGATTTTGTGGGACATTAATGTGATTATGATAACTACATGTGGTTCTGAGTAATTGATTCTGATCGAATTTCAAGGTGGGGCAATGAATTCTACGATTTTCCCTCGCATGTTGCTGGGTATGACAGCGCGCCAAGCTTGTTGAACATTGTTTGCTCACTGCAAAGACGATATTTTCTTTTCTCCCGGTATATTGTCACTCGATCTTTTGACAAACCCCCTGAACCCCCTTTCAAAATTCCTGGATCCGCCCGTGCACAGGCTACTGGCGACATTGATACTTACACAATAGTGTGGTGAATATTGTATTCAAGGCTGGTCCAACTGAATGGGATAAAGTGACTTTGGGCAATTCTTTAAAAGTGACGCATGAATGCATACATGTACAAGGCTTTTCGCCACTTTGGTTCATCTCAAATAACAGTGATATTGCGCTTTAAATCAGGAATGATTGTGTGAGTGAATTTTAGACTTGAAGCCTCACACTCTGGCACAGCGATGACTAACATAACATCACTGCCACAGGCTAATTTGCATATCACGTGACCGGACTTTTCTCTTGTTTGTAAACAAACGCATATTCATAATAAGAGGAGACTGGACTCACGAGAGCTTTTCGGCGCTCTCTTCATATTGTTTTACATTGTTACATATATATTCTACCACAACTGCGACAGTAAGGTCTATGACAGTACGTATTTAGATATCAAACTGGCTGCATCGTTTGCTCTCCATCAGCTTCGATGACAGCACGTGGAGCCGTACAACCTATGTAAACAAAGAATCGCTACGAAATAGTGTTACATGTTTTGGATATTTTCTCAGTTTCAACTAAACCATTCTATTAAAGACGTTTGGTTAGATGTGTAGACTCGTCAAAAATTAAAGAGTAAAAGAAATCTGTACATTATATTGAATGGACAATGCAAGGTGTGACGAATCGTCACATTTTTCTCGCCTGTGGCAGAGGTACTAAGCTGGCTTGCCGCACGGAGCTCTGGGTAGGAGAGTGTTGAAGCCTCTCACGTCCTAATGGACTAAGGGAGACAACCCTTCACGTCAATTTGCCGTATCTTTTGTCCCTCATATCACAGTTAGAAGAACACTGTGCCAAACACTAAAAGACGCACCATTGTCATGTGAAATATTAAGGTTTTATTAAAATAATGATGATTTATCAAAATATACATGGTAAATGAGATTGCAAAATATACATAAAACTCATGTAAAATAAAGTTTCAACAACAGAGGCAAGATAGAAAACTGTCCTATTTCCATGGAAACTAACAATTTGGTTGCAGCTAAGACACTCAGTACAAGACAGAACAGACTCATTGCAACTCAGGGTGACACAAAACACAACCACTAAGAGAGATCAAATACTTCTTCCCTCAATATACTGGTCTACAGATTTGTTATTGACATAGTCTGGGAGGAAACGATAAACAAACATGCCACATCACATGTAAGTTCCCTGTTCTTCAAACATGTGAATGGGGATAGGCTGCCATGTGTGCAATGTTAAACTGGTCTTGAATGCACAGTTCATGAAGACACACTACTCAAGTTTGCTTCTCAAAATTTACCACTGTGGAAATGTTTCTTAAAATAATCAGTCCATAACAAAATGGAAACCGTGTGGTTGTGTGAGGCCACAGAATGCCCGGAACTAGAGAATCACTGATGTAGTGAGACTCATTTTCCATGTCAAGTCTAGACACCCCAAATGATATTTTACCAGTCCACAATATCTTTTAACATCAGACAAAATAATTCCAGCTAGTGGGCAAGTGCTTTGTTGCATCCCTGGACATATGTTCTCACCGTTTTCACCATCACTGACGTCAGTGAACACAATCATCGACTAAACATTGCTACAGGTTGCTAAATTAGGATACTTCTGACAGAGAACAGTCTCACACTTCAGATAACTAAGTTATGCTAAGTATAAATCATGACAAAACATTCTTGTCCTTCAGTTGTCCTGGGAGAGTAAGGGACATTTCCTTGCAACATATAACTTAGGGTCCCAATGCCATTCATTAAGTAACACTACCACTGCTGTGAATGGAGTTTCAAGACAATCTTTGGATAGAACTACAGGGTTGCCATGTATGTGGGCCATAGTGGAATGCTACCGGTAAGTGTCTAGATATTACGAGGCACCTGTCCCATCTCTCGCATCCTCCAGACATTCACTACACACACAGACAACAAACAGACAACACACAGACACACATAGATGTATCATTCGTCAAGTTTGCGTTTTGGCTTCTTTGGGTTTCTGGATCGACTTTTAGCTTTGCAGAGCGGACATATTGGAGCATTGCGGTGAATCTGTTGGTGGCACGACAGACAAGCCTAAAAGGAAACAGAACAACCAGGATGTAGCGATTAGTCGTTCAGTGAAATGTATGAAGATGAATATGTACACATAAGAAATTAATGATAAACAATTATACTCATCAGTTTGGACTGTAACAAAGTACTTTACTTATATTTGACCCTACTTACGAATGAAAACACCACATATATTCCATGCTGTGTTGAACAAGAGATCCCTGTTAGACAGAGTGATCTAAGCTCATATACTTTAACCTACAAGTGTTACTTCAGCTAAGAGCACTAGTGGGATGACAAATAGGACAGTTAGCATCTTCAGATGGGATTCTGTGTCTGTTGGTTCCAGTCTGGGAGCTAACTATTGGAAATCCACAACTGCAGGACGATCATACATACCTTCATTGGTGGTGGCTGTTGTCTGAATGCCTGCCTGTCTGTTGTCTTGGCTCGTGGGACCTGTATCTGTTGTGCAGCAGCAGCAGCAACGGCCAGTGACTGTGGCAGAGGAGGCTCTGAGGGTTCACTCTGCCAATCGAGGTTGGACTTCTCAAAAAATCTACAACAGTCATGGTACATAACTAACTATGTTCAGTGAATCACCTGTACAATCACAGAAGAATCACATTCACTGAATCACCAAAACAATCTCTGACAAACAGTTCAATTAAACACAAGTAGCTCTGAGACAAATAACATTTGTTGAAACACAAGCACAATCTCCGATTTACTTTCTTCAGTGAATCACCTGTACAATCACAGAAGAATCACATTCACTGAATCACCAAAACAATCTCCGACAAACAGTTCAATTAAACACAAGTAGCTCGGAGACAAATAACATTTGTTGAAACACAAGCACAATCTCTGACTTACTTTCTTCAGTGAATCACATGTACAATCTCTGACAATGGGAATTACTACTCACTCTGGCTTTAGCTTGTCATCATCTTCATGGATGTCAGGAAGCTTTGACAGACCGATGTTGGATCTGATGGAGTCAACATCTTCTTTGAGAGGCCGGTATTCTTCATACATCTTCTTGGCAGATTCAAGTGCCCGGTTTCTCTCCTCTTCCGCCTGCTTGATTGTTGTCTCCATCTGTCAACAGATAAACACACTGTGATATTGTGTGGACTATTACCATCGGAGCTGACAAGATAAATCCGAACTGTACTAGACTCTGACTTCAGACAAGTTCCATGAACCACTGACATTGATGCATGTGGAACATGCTAATTTCTAGGCTGAAAGTAAATACCATGAAAAATAATACTAAGGACACAGTCATGATTGAATATAATGATAAACAGAAATGACAAAGCCTACAGTACAAGTAGGTACTGTCTATATACCACATCAATCACTCACCATGTTGATGTCAGCATGTATGAGACGAAGCTCCTCCACATGCGCCATCTTCTCCTGCAGCAGCAGCTCCATCTCCTGACGATATTCGCACAGGAAGTTCTCCTCGCTCTCCGTTATCTCCACTTCCTGTCGCAAACGGTTTTTCACTTTCTCAAATTGTAGAGTGCGACTTCTGATAAGACAAAAACAAAAGTAGGATAGGTATTGTACTTCCAAAGAATTCAATATGGCACAGATTATCTTGTCATGTTTGTACCATGTGTAATGGGTTCGAAATTAATATGTATTTTTACCAGTCTGCAAAAACGATCGGCTGCAGAGTTGCAATCTGCCTAATACTGTAAAAGAGCCTCAATCACAGTGCTTCCTGAATATTACTTTTGTCGGACTGGCAGACTGTCAACACTAAATGTAATGGAGACGGAGAATTGGAAATTTTACTATAAATTGTATATTTGTATACTTATCCTATCTCACGGTAAGCACCTCTCTTCTTCTACGACCATGTGTGGAAATGTGCTGTAGGCTAAGTTGAATCAAAACTTCCTAGCCTCTGACCACCTGATCTCTGACTGACTGACTGAGTTTAGTTTTACGCCGCTTTTAGCAATATTCCAGCAATATCACGGCGGGGGACACCAGAAATGGGCTTAACACATTGTGCCCATGTGGGGAATCGAACCCGGGCCTTCGCGGTGACGAGCCAACGCTTTAACCACTAGGCTACCCCACCGGCCCACCTGATCTCTGCCCCCACTCAGATAGCAGACCTGTCAATCACCTCAATAAGTGTGCCGATCGTGCAGATGATCATCTGACATTCTGTGCCTGTCATTCTCGTCTTGGAACGTCCAGTAATGTGTAATGTGGGGCAGGTCAGGTGGGTATCCAACGCGTGAGATAGGATAAGTATATAAATATACAATTTATAGTAAAATTTCCAAATTTTTAAACTTATCCTATCTCACGGTATGCATTATCCCTAGGTTGGCTGGTAGGCCGCAGATTACCCTGTGTCAACTCTACAACCGTGAGGTCGCATAACACAAGGAGACCAGGAGAAAGCACTAACTCCCGATATGCTACCTCCAAACTTGTGATGTGTTGCTCCTGATAACCCCTTAGCTTACACAGCACAAAAACTCTAGGGGAGTGGGCGGAGATAGGAACTGCAGACGACAACTGCTGTGCCAGAACCAATGGACCCAGTTGGTGAAGACCTTCCACGCCAGTGACAGACAGATCCCGGAGGTAGGGTGAGACGAAAACCGTGTCCAAACTCCAAAAACAACCCTCCATGATGCCGTGAAGGGAACAGTTCTGTGTAACGCCATCGTAGAGGTCAAGGTTCTTGTCTCAAGAGGGTTGGCCGTAGTAGGAGGAGGAAGTTCAGCATAGGTGTAGGCACGAAGGATGGTAGATCACATCCAGAAGGTCAATGTGGTACAGTTGGAGGCAGTTAAAAGACCTGTAAAGTCCGGACAGGATATAGGGAGAGATCCTTGGTGTCGTCAGGGCCCAGAATAGTAGACAGCGGCAGGAAGGCGAATAGTCTGTCCGGCTGTCCAGGCAACTGGTTTCAGCGACGAGATCCCACCTCAAACCAGGGTGGCCTTTGGCATGTCTGGTCCTCTCGAAGCGCAACCTGGTGACCTCTAGATTTCAGCTCGGAAATGCAGGCAGCAGGCTCAAAAGCCAGGAGAAAGAAAGTGTTAAACATGACATGCTTGAAATCCTTCTCTGCCAGAGGTTCATACTCCTCTGACGTGAGATGATTAAAACCACGGAAAGCTCACAGGCTGACGGACGGACTTCTGGGATTGATCAGCAGCTTTGTAAGATCTGAGGGAGAGAGTGGAGCTCAGGGACAGTTGACACCTTTGCACCCGTAGCCGACGCAATAACTGTGTTACGCATGGCCAGGTATGTAGACAAAGTAGGACCCTTCAATTCCTTGGAAGTTCTAGGATGCTGGAGGTGTCCATCTGAGGCGATGCTGTACTGGGAGATACAATACCCATCGTCTTGCAGTACGCTTCAAAATTCTTCCAGAGTCATCACAGAGTGGCCTGGTAGAAGTTCGGGGCGCCGTGGTAATCGCCGTAGTGACTTGCTTGGAATATCCCTTTGCAGTTAGCGATTCATGTAAATGCACCAGTGCGAGCGGAGCCCAATGCAGCTGATCGGAGTGAAGATGAACCAGAAGATTGGCTTGATCGGGAAGTGGTACTGGAATCAGTATCATCCGCTGCGTCGTGCGTAACTTGCGCAGTATGCGTGGAAGTAGTGCCACTGGGGGAAACGCATACGCGTTCAAGTCATCCCTGGGATGTGATTGGCTCGGACCGTGATGTTGAGAGAGTCCACTAATTGGAAAAAAAGTTGTGTCCACTGAAGAAGCTGAGGAGACCCCGTGGATCCCATTCGATTGATGTGCCACACGACTGCAGCATAGTCCAATCAAATCAAAAGCTTGGTTGATTGTAACAGGTGTTGCCAATGAGTGATCGCAAGAATCACTGCCCTGAGCTCCAAAACGTTGATGTGACATATGCAATCTGCGGGAAACCACAGCCCTGCCACCTGCTGATCGAGAAAGTATGCTCCCTACCCGTGTAGAGAAGCGTCTACGTACAGGTGATGTACTGGAGCAAACGGTCTTAAAGAGACTTCACCGCAAACATTCAACACGTTCAAACACCACTGGGGATGGGGATGGAACACTGAACAAAGAGAGATCAATGCGTGAGCGTCGCCGATCCTGATGTGTGGACACAGAAAATATTGGAGAGGCCGTAGTTGAAGCTATCCCCTCAGAGTCACAACTTGACCTGACGTCAACAGAAAAAGGTCTGTAACTGATGAAGAACCTTGGGTTGTGAAAGCGCTAGGGGTACCATAAAAACTCCAGCGCAGACATTCAGTTCGTCGAGCCACCACTGAAGGACTGGACGAAGCGGTTCTGGAAAGCGACTCAATTCCTTCAGGTTCAATTGACAGCCTCGAGATATGGGCGTAGAAATCGCTGAAGTAGGAGAAGGCCTCTGTACGTTGAGGCTTGAGCTGATATCAAAAGGCCTAGTAACTACTGCCACTGAAGAAGAAATCTCTCCAGAGATAGGAGACATTCAACTAGTCAACTGGGATTGTCAATCAACCAGGCGAGACCCAAGCCATAGAATCTGGGTAAAGTGACGCTAGCTTCTTGACCAAACATCACTGCTGGTACCACACGCAGAAACTGTGCATAAACAGACCAGCTTGATATTTAGGAATATTGTACGGCGCTTCTTGTTACTGTATACAGACTACTCGTAGCAGCTTTGTGGTGTATCGCTGGGTGTAATCGTGGTCTGTTTCGTCAACCTCAGCACCCTTCGTTTCACATCATAGTCAAGTTTCTGGACAAAAATGTCAAACCAGGTTGTTGTAAAGCTTATATCTATGTCGAAGGGTAGATTCAGTGAATCGAATCATTCATCAAAGGTGAAGATCGGATGGTAGATGACGGAGGAATCTTAAAAATCTGGGACCAGCAATCACCGCCATAATGTAGAGGCCTGCGCTGCTGACATAACTACTACCTCTGTACAACCCGCCGAAACGATGCACTAACTGGAAGCGCCGTACTGGATGAAAGCGTTGATACAGAAGAGCGCGGCGCACTGGATGGACACGATGATACAGAAGAGAGCGGCGCACTGGAGTAAAGCGGCACTCTGGATGGAAGCGTTGATACATAAGAAAGTGTCGCACTGGATGGAAGCGTTGATACATAAGAGAGCGGCATACTGGAGCAAAGCGGCACTCTGAATACGATCGGCGCACTAGTAGATAACCAGGAAGTGAATGAAAGCGGCGCATTGGGAAAAAGCGGCGCACTGGACTGAAATCATTGGTGTGTAGAGTTGAGCTAATCAAAACCCAAGGTGCGCTCTGCAGCGCCGAACTGAATGAAAGCGGTGCATTGGAGTGAACGCTCTGTCTGTTTATAAACACCTTAGAAGCAGGAAGCGTAACCCCAAAGTCCTGAGCACCGGTAAAACTGTAGAAATGAGGTATCAACGCCGAAGTTGGAAAAAAATGTTGAAGTAGAACTGCAGTAGACAAAGTCGCTGTAGGTACCGGAGTGTGCGAACTAGTAAACAAGCCATGATGACAGTATGCGCATAGAGGTAACCAGATGATTCGGTGAAAGCTGACAGTTCAGCAAACACTGTTGGATTGGCGAATATTGTTGGAGTGGCGATCTAGTATGGTGCGGCGATCAGGATCGATTAGGTGATCTGGTTCGGTACTGTGATCCGGTTTGGTCAAGTGATCTGGTTTTAGAGCGCTGAGTCAATCGGGACCGGTGCATTCGTATCAAACGTCGTACCAAACAGTAATGGTGTACTGGACTGAAAGGTGTTCCAATCAAAAAACAGTTCACTAAGTTGAATCGTTGTTTCAATCGAAAACAGAACACTGGTCTGAAGCGTTGATCCAATCGAATGCGCCGCACAGGGCTAATGAGTTGGACCGAACGAGAGCTGTGACCTGAAGTGAAATGATGCACTGGTTTCTTCTTCCCTTGTGAGAGTGACGCATTGGTACAAAGTGATGACTGGACAGCAAGCGGCGTACTGGAACTAGGCGGTGGTTCAGAGACAGGTGTGCAAGGTACGGGAAAGGTGTTGAAAGCGCCGCACTGGATACTACCGTCACGCCTGATGTCACCTCAGAAAGATATGAGAGCGCCACACTGGAACAAAGCGCTGCATTAAAAGCAAGCGGCGCATAGGTTGAAGCGCTGAACTGATCCCTGTGGTTGAAAGCGCCAAACTGACTGCACTCGCCACATGAGAGTGAACGATTTCACCAAGCGCACCCACCATAGCAGAGGCGGGTGGAGCACTCAACCAAAGCGATGCACTGGAAACAACCACCTGCCAAGGTAGAAGGCCGAGACTGTGCTACAGAGGTTGTTAGCACTACCACTCACGGAGGAGTAAAACTTGTCTGGACACGGGACTAGACATTGAAGACGAACGAGACGACGGAGATACTCGCTCAAGTAGGAGTCTGAGGCCACCTCTAAAAAAAAATAATCTTCGTCCGAGGACGGTGATTAGATCGACAAACTACTCTCATCAAACGGCGTTCTGATTTAGCACACTTAGAAGTAAGGACCTTCAGCAGTTGTACGCCAATCTCTGTCCGATCTACGTCTAGATGCAACCCGTCGATATTCAGAAAAAAAACATCATCATTCAAGTGTGAACAAACAAAACACCGATGTGACCAACTACAAAAGCCTATACAATCCACACACAAAGCGTGGATCAGCTGGGAGAAGTTTCTGTTGCACTGACCACAACAAAGTTTGCGCTTCTTAGAAGAACTTCGATTCGATTTATTTCACATATTAACAATCAAATAATGTCTTACTGAGAGAACAACACACTTACACACGGTGTAGTGACAAGAAAGAGAATGATAGGCACAGAACGTCACGGTAATCATCTGAGCGATCGGCAAGCTTGAGATGATTGACAGGTCTGTTATCGGAGTGAGGGAAGAGGTCAGGTGGTCAGAGCCGGGAAGTTTTGATTCAACTTAGCCTACAGCATGTTTCCACACATGGTCGTAGAAGAAGAAGAGAGGTGCATACCGTGAGATAGAATAAGTTTAAAAATTTTATACTTAAGAATTTCAAGTTGCCAAGTTCATTTGTCATCATGACTTATCATGTCATGAAACATAAAAACAAGAAAATATTTGAACATGTTAGCTAAAGACAATAAGAAACATAATTTTGTTCATTTAGGCATATTTCCAGAGAAAAATATTATCAGCAACAAGAACACCTATCATGTTAACGAAACACATTCCTGATAACCAGGATCAATTTCTGTTGTTGCAGAATTTTTGCCATAATCTGAACTCATCTGCACTTGGCAATGTCAGTGCTGTATTATCATTAAAATAAATAACAGTTCATCTAATAAAATACTAACTTTCTACATTGCTGTGGCTGTATTGCTAACAGAATTGCAGTGTCAATAAACGCAGCACATTTTGTGTTTTACATTCATAACTCTAATAAACAACCAGGGGTTGTATTAACAACCAGTAAATCTCTCACAGACTGATCTTAGACACTGGTCTGGAGCCCAAGTCAAGCAATGTTCTGTTCAGTCTAGTATGTTCCATTGATAGAGTCCACAGAATAACACTAAAGCTGTGTAAATGATTAAAGGAGGCAAGTTTGGGCGTCCAACACTGCAGTTAAACGGGTACAGCTTATAGAACTAATCATGGCTACATTGCTGGCTGTGACAATCATAGTGTAAGAAGGAACCAGCATGCCTTAGAGTGTGATCAATGTCAGTCATGGACACACAGGGTTTGTGGCACAGAGATGACTCATGAAGACTACTTTGACTTACGTAAGGCAACTGTTGCCAAGACCAAGTCCACAGGAGACAGAGTGCCAGGCAAATACCCACACACACAGCAGAGGCAGGCAAACTTATCTCAGTCCAAGTAAGAGCTCAGGTGAGTAGTACTTCCTATTGATTGATTCCTAATTAGTAGTTAATTGTACCATAACTGTTAACGAACTGTTAATTGAACAGATGCTTGAAGGGCCTTTAGAAGTTGGGAGGTAACACAACAACGTATGGTATGGATTTACCACTTCTTTAATATTTACAACACGACGTTTCTGGGCTACTTCTTGCCCGTTCATCAGTTGAATGACAGAATATGATACAAGCAAAATATATAGTATGTACAAGAAGCCAGTGAGATAGTATTACAGATTGAGATGTACAGAGATTAAGTGATGTGTTTAGATGAGATGAACAGAGTTCAAAGAGATGTTTATGCAAAGGACGTACAGAATGTTTATAGGTCAAAGTTCGCTGATGTAAAAATGTTGTAGTTTCATAGTCTTTCGTTGCCATTTTTACTGTTTCAGTAGGGAGGTAATGTATATTTATGTTGCTATTTCCATGATTAATGTGGACTTTTCTGCGTTTTTCTGCCCAGTGGGAAAGTTTTCTTTGGTAGGCCTGAAGTATTGGGCACTCTTTTATGATCTTTAGCATGTTGAGGCTTAGTTGTGATGTAGGGTATGTGTTAGCAATCTAATTCAACAAAATAGCCGAAATAAATTTGAGTGAGTGAGTTAGTTTAGCTTTACGCTGCTTTTAGCAATATTCCAGCAATATTATGGCAGGTGGCATCAGGAATGGACTTCACACATTGTACCCATGTGGGGAATCGAACCTGAATCTTTGGCGTGATGAGCAAACGCTTTAACCACTGGGCTACCCCATCGTCCCCAAATAAATTTGAGGAAATCCAATCAGGTTAACAAGTAAACATGGTGCTGATCAATTTGTCAACAACTTCTTTACATTTGTGACTGTACCCGTGGCCATGATGGTCCTATATTAATTGTATTAATTTATTTGCTTAGTGCTATTTCATTCCCACATCATACTAGTCCATCTGGTGTTTATTGAAATCTGAATAACTGCACCCAGTAAAATGCACTAAATCCCCAAGATGGGGGTTATTGTTTAAGTATTTATTGGAGTTGTTTTGGTGTTTCTAGCAGAGTGTTGAAAGTAATTCTGGGTATGTGGTTCTAGTGAAGCATTCCATAGCTGTGATATCCATCTGAAAGGATATAAGTTCGTATCTCAGATACTAATGGTGGATGGCACACGAGGCATGGTAAGAGTTCCGCCCATAACCCCTGCTTGAAATGTATCCTATTTATTATGATTATTTCTAGGGGTTAGGGTTTAGGTGTAAGGTTTAGCTTTAGGGTTAGCATTCTATAAAAAAAATTTAAAACCCATCTATTCCTAGGCATATAATGCACTTTACCGGGCGCAGCCCTCGCTGCTCCCTTTACGATCCTTAGGGTTAGGGTATGGCACCCTTTACGATCCTTAGGTTTAGGGCTAGGCACCCTTTCCGATCCTTAGGGTTAGGGGTTAGGGTTGGGGAACCCCAGCAGCGCTAATTAATCTGAAAAAGTGCGCCCGGTAAAGTGCAGTACTCCCGATAAAAATAACGGGGTTTACGGGGGGACATCTTTCCCGAAACAGTTACACTTAGACTGACTCGCAACTAACCCTGCTAGCGATTGGAAAGGTAGACAGCTCGTCAACATGGTCAAGGTTTCAACACAAGGAGTATTTGATCCCAAAACGCGCTTTGCTCAATCCCAGTTATCTGCTTAACCTGTTGGTGCTGCAACCGGTTAATGCGATCATATGTAGTTGTGTAATATTCTTTGTTCTGCTGTAGGAAATTAGAATTGATTTGTAGATAGACACGAATCCGAGTCGTTTGTTTCTCTACTGTCCTTTGCCATTATTAGCGATTCAACAAGAAAAATAACTATATTAACTTATAAAGACATCTGAGATAGCGTGCTGTGACCAGGCACAATGCATAAGTTAACGGTCATACATTCCTCATAACAAACCTTAATTCTTTCAGTTTTTCTAATTTGTTCAACATATCCATTTCTTTTTCATCCGCCATGTTGTCTGAATGCTGTCCGAAATGTCACGTGACAATGTGTTTCGAGATAAAGAAAATACAATCAGAATGTCCAAATGACGAAAGGGAGGTAATTTTGTAACACATTACCGGACCAAACCAATACCATTCTTCATACGGGGTTTAAAATGTAACATGTATTAAAACTTTGTGTCAAAATGATCTTTTGCATGACATACTTTTATCTTCGGTCTTCAGCCTATCACAAGGCTAGAGTTATGTAAAACGTAATGTATTTGTGAGGCAGTAACTTATAGTTTCCCGGATTTTAATTGACACCATTTCGCGCGAGATTTCCCGCGCATGTCAACATGGCTTTGCTACCGAAACAGGAGTTACAGTTAGGTAGGTGAAATATTAGTTTATGTGACAATGTCAATCGAATATTTTTATTGCTAAGCATGTCTAAATGTGTAAATCCTGGTTTCCACTGATTGGTAGCCATCGAATAGTTAAGCTTATAGACTTTTGAGTAAATCATAGGTAGATAGATCTCTTTCTTACTTGACACAAGTACTGCATGAGTAGATTTATATTTGTTCACTGGACATGGTCGGTTTCAACACACTGTACATCGAAATTATGATTGGTTTGCAGCCAAATAAACAGCCATTTCTACGAAAATAACCCAGATCGTAAAAAGATCAAGTAATGAAGTAATGAGGCATTTGGTGCGAGGCAATAATTTATCTGATATATGTTCTATCGGGGCTAGTTGTAATGGACAGAGGGTGTTTAAATGGATATCTTAAATTGTCAGTTTTGCACGGTCTTTCCAACCTAAAACGGGAGGTATAGAGAGGGACCACTAACATGTTTTCAATAAAGTGACAGGATGTACCTAGATGTTATCTTGGAGTTCTGCAATGTCGGATTCACTAGTCTGGTGGTGAGAGTTGAAAATGGATGATCTCAATTGAGTATTTGATGAATAATCATTGAAAAAAACTAGTAGTCTTCTGGACTAGTGCAAGTTTGTTTCCATTCGCCCGACTAACTTTTTACTCGCCTCAGGCTTGCGAGCGAGTGTAAACATCAAAACGCTGATTGTGTACGCAGCAAACATTGTGCGTGGAAAGTTAGAACTGACATTCAACAATGTGAGACATATTATCTTGCATAAGAAACAGAGAGACTGTTTCCAGATTGTTAATTGCAATACTGGAGTGATCACTGTCAGAAATGTGAAATATCTTAGACCCGTCCCATGTATGGAAGGTTATTCAGAGATATTAGAAGAAACCATCCAGGAACTGGTGCCTCGAGCTCCAAATATACATGTGACACTACCTGCTCCAGAGCAACCTAAACCTGTTGACACTGGACTTGGTGAGACAGAACATTCAGATGTTGGTCCAGACGTACCAATATCGAACGACCTTCAGGTTAGAGAACCACGACGTTCACAGAGAATCAGAAAACAACCTGAAGGATTTCAGGACTATGTCTTGAAATGAACTTTGAACTGTCATCGAATATAACTGAATGACTGAAAGATTTAAGAACAAGTTTATTCTTAAACTTTCTGTAATATATGTATATAATATATCAGAAAATCAATTCTGTGATATTGGGCTGGTGTTATTTGATATAACATATTTCGTAAATATCTTGTCATTGGTGAATCAAATGTTTTTAATATTGCATTATTTCGTAAATATCTTGTCATTGGTGAATTGAATGTTTGGTGTTATTTGATATTGCATTATTTCGTAAATATCTTGTCACTGGTGAATTGAATGAAAGTATGTTCACTGTATCAGGTATCTAGTAAGAGTAAACAAATATATATATTAATACATCATTTATTGGTAAGCTCTACAAATGTTATAATATATTTTCATATTAACATTTTACAGTTGTTGAGAGAATGATCAGAACCAACGTGTGAATGATTAAACATGGGAGGAATGTAGCGAAGTAATATTATACATCATGTGATGTAATGTGATGTAGTGCGCATGTGCGTGGCATACCACTCGGGAAGTAAAAGGCTTATCGTAAACACTTAGTTGTGTCTTCTCTCTTCCTGGGAACAACAAGTCATGCAGTGAAGAACCCATAGAACACTACAACGCTGTAATTCCAAACATTTTGGTTGTGTCACCATGGCGACATGTTGCACTACACACATATTTGTACAGGATATTGGGCTTGAAACTTTTGTGGTAAAATCACAAGCATGCATTTCTTAAAATCAGAAGTATTCTGAAATATATGATTCTCTGAACCATGCATTCTCTTGTTCCAGACACAGCCCAAGAGCAGGGATTCCTGTCTTTCTTCAGAAAACTGCCAGAGGTAGGTCACATGTCATGTTACCCACTTGCCACAGGGCAATGTGTCAGACGTGAGTGTTGTTCAGATGAATACCCTTTAGGAAACAATGTACTATGGTATAAATATCTAATCTTTAGAATTCTATGTGTGTAGAAAATATGTGAGGAAAGGAAGATGGGAGTGTGACAATGTGTAACTTGCTTTATGCTTATTTGACTTTTAGCATCTATATCATATATAATGGGAGACAAGGAAATACATGGGGGAAATTTTTTTGAAAACTTCTTATCAAACCTGGGTTTGATTCCCAACATGGGTACAATGTGTGAAGCCCATTTCTGGTGTCCCCTACTGTGATATTGCAGGAATATTGGTAAAAGCGGTGTAAAACCTCACTGTCACTAGTTCACACTTAATCAGACAGTAGGTGGTATATATAGATGACTTAGTAGTGATCTTTGTTACATATTTGTTTGTACCTTTATCTTTGGTATTTTTGCTGAAATACTTTGAGATTAACCAACAGCAATGTTTTCTGATATACTGTATGTATTAAACTGCTGACTACATACCCAGGTGAGCTTCAGCATCATGGCAAAGTTCAATACTTTTGGCAGTGATTGGATTATAATGATTTACATAATTCAAACTTATCTCATAGAGTATTCTTCGTGTTCATGTCTTGTTTCAAAAGAAACCTTATTCCATTTCCAGAAATCCAGTACCACATTGCGTGTATTTGACAGGACAGTAAGTACAATGTTTTTTGTTGAGAAATTGTAGAGACAGGACCGTCCAGAGATGCCAACCTCTACGATTTTATCGTAGTAGCCTCAATAATAGCCTCAGTAATAAAAAAATCAGAACTATTAGGCAACTTTAACTTGTGAACAAAATTAAGTCTCTTTCCCCAAAGTGACTACCAATAGCCACTCAGTTCGGTCTCCCAAGATAAAGCCCTGTAGTGTCCAAGGCCATATTGGAATATCTTTCTGTATTGCTAATATCAATTTCAATCATATCTATTTTAATACATTAAGATACCAATAATTGTGGATTTAATTTCTATCCTTCAAAGATGTAAATGTTTTGTCTATTTATCATCTTATCTTGGCTCTGCATCACATCCAGGTGTTGATGACTTTCAACATACTTATTTGAAATGCATGATTTATGCCCATTATGATTTCTGTCACTTGTCATATCTTCACAGCAACAAGTCATATCAGAATCTGTTACAGGTAGAAACACACTGATACAGATACCACAGTCATTGTCTAGCCAAATGCTATCAGACAAGCCTGACTTTCCAACTTCTGTATATTGCAGGAATATTACACCGTTCATGGCCAGGATGCAGTGTTCGTTGCCAAGGATGTGTACAAGACCACCGGGGTCGTTAAGCACCTGGGTTCAGGTCAGTGAGGTCATTATACCAACAGTAAAAACTGACACCTTTTCAGGACACACTAGAAGAAACAAAGTATGATACACTCACTGCTGGTGAAAAAGCAACTGATGAAAAAGAACAGAACCATCCTAAATTTGGAGCTTCCGTATTTAATATTTATCCTCCCACACTATCCGACTTAATAACTGAGGTTAGTCTTTGTTTGATGTTTCAACTATATTCTGCCGTGATCGCTGTCCATGTAGAGATTGGAATGACATAATCACCCTTAACATGTTTTCAGGATCAAACAAGGTGGAGTCTGTGGTCCTGAGCAAGATGAACTTTGAGTCATTGGTTCGTGACCTGCTGTTGGTCCGGCAATACAGAGTGGAAGTGTACTGCAATAAGGGAGCCTCCAAGAACAATGACTGGTCCCTGGTCTTTAAGGTGAGATTCTTTGTCATCTGGAGGTGTACTGCAACAAGGGAGCCTCCAAGAACAATGACTGGTCCCTGGCCATTAAGGTGAGATTCTTTGTCTTGTGGAGGTGTACTGCAATAAGGGAGCCTCCAAGAACAATGACTGGTCCCTGGCCTTTAAGGTGAGATTCTTTGTCTTGTGGAGGTGTACTGCAATAAGGGAGCCTCCAAGAACAATGACTGGTCCCTGGCCTTTAAGGTGAGATTCTTTGTCTTCTGGAGGTGTACTGCAATAAGGGAGCCCCCAAGAACAATGACTGGTCCCTGGCCATTAAGGTGAGATTCTTTGTCTTCTGGAGGTGTACTGCAATAAGGGAGCCTCCAAGAACAATGACTGGTCCCTGGCTTTTAAGGTGAGATTCTTTGTCTTTTGGAGATGTACTGCAACAAGGGAGCCTCCAAAAACAATGACTGGTCCCTGGCCTTTAAGGTGAGACTCATTGTCTAGTGGAGATGTACTGCAATAAGGGAGCCCCCTAGAACAACGACTGGTCCCTGGCCTTTGAGGTGAGACTCATTGTCTAGTGGAGGTGTACTTGGCAGTCATTTTTGTTATTGGGGTCCCAGGTTAAAAATGGAGGTGGCTTCCAGGTGACTGAATTATGGTATAAGATACATGTCAAAAATTGTATGCAGTACAATTGAAAGATTGCAGTCAGAGGCTGTTACACATACATGTTCATTCTCCCATCAGAAAGAAATCTGTATAAGCTTGCTCTAGAAAATTGTGAATATGTGGTTGTTTGTGAGGAAAGTGTTTTATGAAGACAAAAACTGTGAAGTTGGATGTAATACTGTAGATTTAACATGCCAGAAATATCCCATGACTTGAAAACTTTGGGCTGACATAAAATTTATGAAAAAGACTGTTATATCCTGTTCAATAATTGTTTATGTATGACGTTTTGTATGTGACGTCACTTGCAGTTTCACTTCTGGATCAAACGTTGAAGTAAAGAAGTCTGTTATCAATGTGGAATCGTTTAATCGAATCATGTTATGAGGTGAGGTGAAATTGGGTTTAACGTCGTGCTTGAGAATATTTCGCTCATATGACGACGTGCATGCGTGTGTATGTGTAGGTGCGGCTGCTTGTACTAGCCCAGACTGAAGCTGGTTTTATAGTGCTAGCCCACTGAGATACCATGCCGCAGTGAAGCATGGATACCTCACTCAGACACATTATACTGACTCCGAGCCGACCAGTCCTTGTTGTACCCATTAAAGCCGAGCGCCAGGCAGGGACCAACAAGTACCATATTTTAACGTCTTTTGGTATGACGCGGTCGGGGATCGAACCCGCGACCTTCCGCTCTCCGGGCGGACGCTCTAACCACTACACCACGGGGGCGGTGAATCATGTTATGGAATCGAACCTGTTGATGAACCAGAATACATAACAGTGGGCGACGAGGATGGGATTGCATACATGGGATGACAAAGTACAAGTTATCAGAAAGAAACGCTCGCGACCTGAGGATGTTGCCGAACTACGCTCTTTCTTGGAACTGATTCAATACTATGCAAATTCCTTCCAAATCTCTCAACAGTTGTGCATCCATTGAACACATTGGTGAAAAGGAATGAAATGGGTTTGGACTGAACAGTGCGAGTCCGCTTTCGAGAAATGCAAGCAGCTGCTCATTGGCGCCGACGTGCTAACACACTACAACACACACCTACCACCGAGACTAGCATGTGACGCATCTTCCTACGGTTTGGGAGCGGTCATTTCACATGTTATACCGGACGGCACTGAAAGACCCATTTGATTTGCATCAAGAACACTCAACATGACTGAACACAAATATTCACAGATTGACAAAGAGGCTTAAGGAATCTTATTTGGAGTGAAACGATTTCATCAGTACCTATATGGCCAACAGTTTACTCTTGTCACGGACCTCAAGCCGCTCACAGCTCTATTGCTGCTGACAGACCAGTCCCCACACTTGCAGCTGCGAGGTTACAGAGATGGGCACTGATCCTTAGTGCTTACACATACAAGATTGAATACAAAGCATCAAGAGAACATTCAAATGCAGATGGACTTTCAAGACTTCCATTGAAGAATGTTACAAAGGTAACCAGGAGACAGTAGATATCACTGATTTATTTCATGCAAGTCATTTTGAAACTTTACCAGTAACTTGAGCCAATATTCGAGAAGCAACAAGAAAAGACCCAACACTATCAGTAATGTACGATGCCATTATGAATGGTTGCGACAGTGAACATGTGACAACTGAGAGTTTGCAGCCTTTTGCTTAAAGGGCGACAGGAACTCACGATTCACCAAGGGTGCATCCTATGGTGAATAAGAATGGTCATTCCATCTAGGCTGTGCGTTACAATTCTACATGAACTTCATTCTGGGCACATGGGCATCGTCAAGATGAAGTCAATTGCTAGAAGTTATGTCTGGTGGCCCAGAATTGACCGCGCCATTGAAAATATAGTACGTACATGCAACTCTTGTCAACAAGTACAGAACATGTCTAAAGATGCATCTACACACCCCTGGATTTGGCCGTCGGCTCCTTGGAAAAGCATTTCATCTGAATTTTGCTGGACCTTACTTAAATCACATGTTCCTGATAGTCGTTGACGAATATTCAAAGTGGCCGGAAGTCGTGAAAATGAACTTGACAACTGGAGAACATACAGTTAAAGCCCCGCGGAAGGGCTTTCATGCTATGGACTACCTTCAACAAGTGTTACAGATAATGGACCACAGTTTACAGGTGCAGTTTTCGAGCAATTTCTGAAAGAAAATGGGGTGAAACACATATTTTCAGCTCCATACCATCCGTCTACAAACGAAAAAGCAGAGAGAGTTGTTCAACCTTTCAAGAGAGCTATGAATGCAGCAAATGCGGATTCACACACAGTTGAGAAAAAGTGTGAACAATTTCTTTTGATGTACAGATCTTCTCCACACTGCACTACAGGGGAAACACCAGCAAAGTTGTTCCTTGGTAGGGAACTCAGGACTCGGCTTGACTTGCTGAAACCAGATCTGCAAAAGAAAGTAACAGATTCACATGGGAACAAAGCAAGTGACACAACAAGAACATTAAACATAGGTCAGAAGGTATGGACCAGGAACTATTCTGACAATGGAGAAAGATGGGTGTTCGGCACAGTGCATTCGGAGGATGGTTTTAGACATATCATCGAACCGAGTCATCAAATCATCAGATGACATATTGACCAGATCAGAGAAGGGCTGATGAAGTTAAACCAGTTTGTGAACTGAACACTCAACCAAACGCTGATGTCCCCATGACCGATAAAGGTGACTGCCCGGTATCAAGCTCCAGTCAGCCCGGTCACAGTGATGTACAACCTCATATTCAGGACTCTAATTCTACTTCAGGGAACTGCAGTCTTCCTGTGCCTGATGGGGTGGTGTCCAGTGTTCCAAACACATTGCGCCGCTCTACGAGGATTTTAAAACCACCTGAGAGACTGAATCTGTAAATTGCTAGGGCAAGGCATTTAACAGTTAAATTTTTCTCTGTACAGCCAGACCAAGCAATTTTTGCTGTAATGATGTTTGATATTGCAAGTTTGAATTCATAGCTATCGCTATTTCATAAGAGAGGGAAGTGTTATATCCTGTTCAATAATGGGGTTTGCCTGTGTGCAGCTACACGCCAGTTTATGTATGACGTCATGTATGTGATCGTGACGTCACTTGCAGTTTCACTTCTGGATTAAACCCTGAAGTAAAGAAGTCTGTTTGTTATCAATGTGGAATTGTTTAATGGAATTATGTTATGGAATTGAACCTGTGGATCAACCAGAATACATAACAAAGACAGTTCTAAATTCACTGGAGGCATATTTTCAGCCCAGTTTGACATCTGTAGTCCATGAATATCCAGTGAAACTGACTGAGTGTTTATGTTGCAGGCGTCTCCAGGTAACCTGACACAGTTTGAGGACATCTTGTTTGGCAACAATGAAATGTCAGCTTCCTCTGGTGCCGTGGGCGTGAAGCTGGGTACAGACAATGGGCAGCGGGTGAGATGACCCTACTCAGTTCTGAGATAGAGCCGTGAAGATCCGAGTTAGAATTGGTCTTCAGCAACCCAATGTTTGTCGTAAGAGGCGACTAACAGGACCGGGTGGTCAGGCTCGCTGACTTGGTTGACACGTGTCATTGTATCTCAGTTGCATAGATTGATGCTCATGCTGTTGATCACTGGATTGTCTGGTCCATACTCGATTATTTACAGACCAATGCCATATAGCTGGAATATTGCTGAGTGTGGCGTTAAACAACAAACAAACCAATACTGAGTTAGCCAATGGAATGTTTCCTGCTGCCCCCACCTGGTCGGGGAATACAGGTTGATGCTGCGTCTGTCCATCCGTTCATCATCATCCCACAACAATAAGGACATTTTTTCTTTGGAAATGACGTTGATACTAGGATGAACTTTTGCATTGAATATTATCAGATCAAGTTCAGACATCTCAGATGATATATATTTTATTCCCCAGTCTTATGTTTCTTAACATGAAGTGTTCTGCACAGTAGCATTAATGCAGGCGTGAAATTTTCTATTCGTAAGTAATTCAAAATCATTCTCATAATCCAGTAGAACAATTGTTACTGACAGAACAATCACAGTTGGTACCTGTCATCAGAATTCTGCATCTTCCGCACTAATATTCACTTGGTGTAACCTCAGACAACAGTCAGTAACCCATATGTAACAGGCCCCTGTAGTCCTTCTGACACAGATGAAGCTTGGTATTTCTGTTAGATATATAGGATTGAGATGGGCAGTTTCATTTGTTGGGTAAATATGGTCGGCTGTGTTATAACTTGCTGTTAAATGTTAATTACTTTTGTTGCTTGGCAGTGGTTTGAAATTTGCTTTGATGACGACCCCCACCATAGTTTAGGCTAGAATAATGTTAAAATTTATCCTACATCTGTTTGAGATGATGATTGAACAGGTCAAACTGTTACCACTTCACAGGTTGTGGGCGTTGGCTTCACAGATGTCACTCAGAGGAAGTTCACAGTCAGTGAGTTTTCTGACAATGACCAGTTTTCAAATCTTGAGGTGAGTAATTCAGTTGGTATGCACCAGAGGCATGTTCAACAAAGAAGTCTAAACACTGCTATTGTTGTCCCCCGCCGCAACGCGGAACGGGGGACTATGTATTCAGCGGCGTCCGTCCGTACGTACGTACGTACATCCCGATTCTTGTTAACGCGATATCTCATGAACTATTGCACCCAATGTCTTCAAATTTGGTGACAGGCTACATTGGGGGATTATGCAGACACCAGTCGAATTGGGTGACCTTGACCTTATTTTCAAGGTCACCACGACACTTTTTGACCACTTTTCAAACTCTTGTTAACGTGATATCTCATGCACTGTTGTACCAAGTGTCTTCAAATTTGGTGACAGCCTAGATTGGGGGATTACGCAGACACCAGTTTATTTAGGTGACCTTGACCTTGACCTTATTTTCAAGGGGTGGGGTAGCCTAGTGGTTAAAGTGTTGGCTCGTCACGCCGAAGACCCGGGTTCGATTCCCCACATGGGCATAATGTGTTAAGCCCATTTCTGGTGTCCCCTGCCGTGATATTGCTGGAATATTGCTAAAAGCGGCGTAAAACTAAACTCAGTCAGTCAGTCAGAGTTATTTTCAAGGTCACCACAACACTTTTCACACTTTTAACTCTTGTTAACGCGATTTCTCATGAACTGTTGCACCCAATGTCTTGAAATTTGGTGACAGCCTACATTGGGGTATTACACAGACACCAGTTTATTTGGGTGACCTTGACCTTATCGTCAAAGTCACCACGATACTTTGACCGCTTTTTAAAGGCGATATCTCATAAAATATTGCACCCAATGTTTTCAAGTATGTTGACAGCCTACATTGGGTGATTATGCAGACACCAGTCATTTCAGGCATCTTGTATGTGACCCAAAAATATAAAGTAGTAAATATAGATATTCCATTCTTTAGCGGCGGGGGACATTGCCACATCAGTGGCAAACACTTGTTATAAAACTGTGTTAGATTATGGGAGTAATATCTTAGCACTGAGATCATTTTATGGAACAGAGTAGGGCTGCGCAATATAACCGGTTTACCGGTATTAACCGGTTTACCGGTATTTACCGGTTCAGACATGAAAACAATACGTATTGCGATACGCTGATCGAAAACCGGTATTTTGACATGCATTCGGAAAACTTCGTAACAGTCGGAAATCTTCGGATATTTCCGTTTTTTTAATTGTTCTTTTCCCTGTTTCATTAGTGCCAAATGTTACGTACATTTTTATTTTGTCATGATTAAAAGTTTTTATAAAAGGTTAATCAATCATAGTGATTTTGTTGTGTTTTTGCTTTATAATCAAGCATTAACTCGATTATAAGTAGTTTTTGTTAAAAAAAAAATCCTTGCAATATATTGCAATACATATCGCAATATATGCTTCCGCATCGCAATATATCGCAATATGAAAATTCTCTGCAATACCCACCCCTAGAACAGCCTAGGAGTTTGTTTGTCACCCAATGAAGTCTTACACATCTAAAACCTCATTTAATGAATACGAAATAAGTTAAGTATGTGGATGTGTTTAGAATGAGCTCCTTTCTTAATATTCAGGAGACATTACTTTACCAGTACTGTAGTTGTTCACATGATATCGTGATAACGTGTTTACGACAGTGTATGTTCTGACAATGAATTTGTGTAATACATTGCAAATGATGGTTCTTTATAAAACCAGAATCCTTTTGAAAACAACATGAAAGTGAATAAAATCCTTGAAAATTCAAAATATTGCCCTGTCAGCTTGTACGTGTGTTTATGTTTTCTGTTTATGTTTGCATATTTAACATTTGACTTTCTTAATGATTAATGTAAAAGTCAAAGACTCCCATGAGTACTTAAGATATAATGACTCTTCAACAGTCACATACTGTAAACATACTTTTTTTCGCTTAGTGTAAATTTTGCGGAATTGACACTTTAGACTACATCCCGCGGTTAATTATTCGCGCAATCAGTAATTGCCAGAACTGCCAGCTGTCTCTTAGGCCGCCGCTAATAGCAATGAAAACAACCAGAGTTAATTGACAATCAAGGCAATGAAATTCTACCGTATATGAAGCTTTTTGTGATTTCATTTCGTGATATGCCGGAATAAATATAAATAAAATCTTAATGAATAAATAAAATACTGCTGTATTATTTCTTTCCGAGTCGTTTCAAGGTAATCCGTTTTGTGTCAAACCATCTATCACTGCGATTGGTCAAAATAGAACATGTGACCAATTTCAATGGCGGCCACAACACACATTGCTGTTTTCGCTAATTCGGCAATAGGATTTGGCTCATTATTTATTTTCGGGACATGATTTGGGAAATCCATTACAGCGACAGTTAAGTATGATTCTTTATGCTACTATTAGTCATCATTTTAAGATTCCCGTAGATTTCTGTCTTCAAACTTGATGTGTTATGGTAACAACTCAGAGGCGAGCCTGGGTAGAGTGAATGAATGAAAGGTTTATTCGCTGTGTATAAATTTTCGCGGTACAATATTTTGCACAAAAATAAAACCTGCGCTATATATAATACGTTTACAGTATATTACTGGCTCCGTGGAACCGTGCCAACTGAACGGCTTTTATTGTAATGTAGGCACTGATTGTTCAACTGGGCCCCAAGGAGTGTGTGGTGATGGCAGGGGAGACAACTGGAGAGGGAGGTCGACTGAGACAGGTGCTTGAGAGAAGTGGGTTACTTCTCACAGAGAGAAAGAGAGGTGAGTGTGGTGCAGGAGAGATGCTAGTGAGGGGGTATAGATATCTTAGTAGGATGGGGCTAGACCAGGCTGTATGTTTTGATGAGATCCCATTTGGGGTCCCAATCCCATTCAAATTACACCATTTACTCTGTTATGATACCATTCAGGATCTCAGTACACTCACGTGGGAGAATCCAATCAGGGTCAAAACATTTGTATAAGTGAGCAAAACAACTACCGTATATGACCGTCTATAAGACGACCCCATGGATAAGACGACCCCCAAACTTGACCCTTAAAATCAGTGTCAAAATGGTATGTTTCGTGCATAAGTCGATCCCCTGCGATGGGGTCCTAATCGCGACAAACACAGACCACAGACAACTGGCAGTTACCAATAATTATAACTTTGGTCCACATTATTCAAAGAATTCACTGTCATATATATTGTGTCTACTCACGGATCGAAACGAAGTGTAGTTGACAGAAAATGCATAATATATTTTGCTTCTCTAAATATCATATTTATTGTAGCAACAAACTGGCTTCCTTATTTTACCCCATTCAACAATCACGAACTGATTATCGCCTCGTTTTCCATTGACTGCTAGTTTACAGTAACATCGGTAAAAATGTGTGAATTTAAATGGCTTCCGTATTTTACCCCATTCCATGTGCTTACCATGTTCATGAGGGTCCGTATAACCTTAGTGTTGATTATATATATTTTACATAAAAACTGTAAATAAAATTACACGATGCTAGGATATATTTCTTTGGGTTAAATAATGGTATTCTGTATTATATTTTACTGGCGACTCGCGCCAGAATTCATCCCGATTATATTATTGTGCATGTTTGAACTTGTTGGCGGAAGCGTGTGCACAGCTGATTGCTATTTCGGCTCAAATACACACGGTAATCTTAATTAATTTATAGAGCAAAACTGTAACTAAAATTACACAATGCTAGGATATATTTCTTTGGGTTAAATAATGGTATTCTGTATTATATTTTACTGATGACTGTGTCAGAATTGGTCCCGTTATATTTTTTGTGCATGTTTGAACTTGTTAGCGAAGCGTGTGCGCAGCTGATTGCTATTTCGGCTTTGTGTATGAGAGACAAATACATACGGTAATCTTTATCCCTGCAAATAATACAATGCCCAGCAAAAACAACTTATAACTCAAAAGGTAAATAATCTTGTCTAGTGATGTTTAATTGCAAATTTGACGTCTCTACTGACAAGGTCGTCTTCTGTTGTTTGTTCACGCGAAGTGATACGATGTTGTTTTCTTACCCCTGGAAAAAGTTTGACGAAAGCGTAACCCATGGATAAGACGACCCCCTTCTACAGACTGCTTTTTTTGGTCCTCAAAATTCAGCTTATAGACGGTCATATACGGTAGCTTCTCTGTTGTCTGTATGAAAACAACAATTTCAGAAAGAAAATCATAAAGGGACTCCATTGCTGGACAGAAGGATTTAAAGTAATTAAAAAACACTGAAAACGATAATGTGAATGCACCACTTGTTAAAGTGTGATGTTGTTCTGGACAGCCAAATAAGGAGGATAATGTTCCTCTATGTAACAATTATATTGGTGTGGATAGTCCATACAGCCTGTTGGAGTACCTAGCCATATACACCCAGTGGGAGTATCATCAAAGGAATGCTTGGGTTCTGTGTGGGTTATTATTTGTACATATGAATTTTCCAAATCAAAATGTTTAAAGATATAGCCAAATCAATTTGGAAAGTAGACAGCTGATTAGCTGAAAAACCCACACTTCAAGGGTCATCATCAAAGTCATACCACTCTGACATCATGATGACGAAGTAGCCTATTGGAAGGTGATTGGCCAATCATTTAGTTGTGTGGTTTGATGAGTTGTGACAAGTGGATACATGACTGTTGACCTTGAACTTTGGCTCCAGCTGACTTCTCAAGCAAGGACATTGTACAAGACCTGAACCGACTCCTGAAGGTGAAGAAGGGAGAACAGCCAAACAGCTCAACTCTCAGTAAGTGACATTTAGGCAGATACAATTATTTAGCTTAGAGTAGATATACAAATTTGCTTGCCCGACAGAAAAAAACACTGGACTCGGGCGTCGGGCAATGGGTTATTTCCACCCCTCTAACAATTCCTTTTATTATCTCTGATCTTATCATCAGTAAGGAAATGTTACAATACAAATTCCATAATCCTGTTTAATATGAATAAATTTATGAACTGTTTTGTATGGAATGCTTGAAAACAATTGTTGATGTTAGGATTCTGAAACTGTTTGTATTTGCTATGCAGATGAGCTTGACAAGACACACGGTACTGCAGCTCTTTCTGCCGTCATACGGTACCTCGAGGTCAGTTAAATCACCTTACTCCACACAGGGTTTGTTTAAACACAGTTCACAGCACAGTTCTATGAATTCTGTATTTTATTAATTTGAAATGAAATAGTCCAGTCACATTTGTGAGTTAGAGCCATGTACAGATTTGAATTTGGAGATACAGTGACGGTTAGAGAGGAGATTCTAATTGTGGACATCAGAAAATTATGTTGACATGTCTCATGTCCACTAAACTTGTTATATATTTCCCTCTATCATTTTGTTTCAGCTTCTGTCTGACGAGGGCAACTTTGGCCAGTACACTGTGGGTAGTTTTGAGTTGGGTCAGTACATGAGACTGGACTCTGCAGCCGTCAGGGCCCTCAACCTGATGCCCAGTCCCAGTGAAGGTGAGACTCACAGCCACATGAGCAGACGTCCAAAAGGTCTTTGGTTGAGACTGCCATCATTACTCTAATACTGTGGGAGTATTTACATGCAGGCTGTTTTTCTCATGTGATGACCTTGACCTTGCAGGAGGCAACAAGAACCAGAGTGTACTGGGTCTGCTCAATAAGTGCCGGACAGCCCAGGGTCAGCGTCTCTTGGGTCAGTGGGTCAAGCAGCCCCTCATGGACGTCAACAGAATAGGTAATAGAGTTACTCCCTGTTTGTGCAGATCACGTTAATCTGGAAAATCTGCATTCCTGCTGACAAATGTTGACATCTGAACATTATTGCTGATTATATATGATTCGAAAAAAAGTTGAAATGGGCAATTCAGAGGCAACAGTATTGTCCAGATAAACTGGGCTTGGATTTATACTGAAGTGAAGGGGAGGTTATCAAATAGTTTTAAGTAAGAAAATTGACAAAATGTCAGCAATATCAAATGTCTGTAAAATGAAAATAACTCAGTATGTTTTTATCATGTTCATGGCATCTGCATGACATCATGTTTCATAGCCAATCACATTTGAGAATGACTAAAGTGACAGTACAGTGAAATCCGTGGGACTGGGTGTATATATTTAATCTGGACCCTGATGTTGTCAACTTACAGAGGAACGTCTCAATGTCGTGGAGGCTGTAGTTGAGGATGCGGAGCTGCGGCAGACGCTGCAGGAAGATCAGCTCCGTCGCATGCCAGACTTTCAGCGTTTGGCCAAGAAGTTCCAACGCCAGAAGGCAACACTACAGGTAGACAACATCACATGCCTACAGTTCTTCTCGTGCTACAACATGTCACACTTCACTGGTACATAAATCATGTGTGGCTGGTGTTAGGTCCACTGAGTTGACATTCTTCGTGGTCAGGTTGAAGGTCATACCATGTTAATTCACTGCAATTATTTGTTTATCTTTTTGTATTGGATCAAACACAGACATAATAATGTTGGAAAGTGGAATTCTAGTTGAGACTCAAGTTGAACACTTTGATAAAATAACTCTGATGTTGATAAAAAACAAACCTTCAGTTTACACACTGATATGATGACTGTATTCCGTGAATGTTCAACTTATCACAAGTCAAACATTCTGTGTTGCTGTAGGACTGCTACCGAGTGTACCAGGCGATTGACAAGATGCCGCAGTTGCTGGAGACGTTGGAGCGCCACTCCGGCACTCATCAGCCACTCCTCATGGAACTCTTCACTAACCCACTCAAGGTCAGAATCATATGTTAATACCTTGTGTTGATCACCTGTTTTTCTACAGTAGTTTTTCAATTAGTTTATCTGCTGTTTATGTTTGGGATTACGCTTTGTCAGTAATGTACCAATTCTAGTTCTTTTGTTAGGTTGAATCTCATACTGGATTCGAACCCATAATTACAGTGTCCGCAATCGCTAGCATACAAAGTCAGCAATATAACCCACTCAGCTACTGCTGCTTCCACTGACAATGTGTAATCCCAAATCTAACATATGTTGCATTTGACGACTTTCTAAATGACATTGTGTATTCATATTTGTTGTTTGTCAACATTGTTTTTCCAGTGTTGACCCTTCTTTCTATTTTTCATGTTTATCCTTGTGGTTATCTCCCCTTTTTTATGTATCAGGAGCTGCTGATGGACTTCTCCAAGTTCCAGGAGATGGTGGAGACAACACTGGACCTGCAGCAAGTAGAGCATCATGAGTATCTCATCAAACCTGACTTCGACGAGAACCTCACAGGTCAGTCACTCTCTTACATCAGAGTGAGGGAGAGTTTAGTTTTAAGCCACTTTTAGCAATATTCCAGCAATATCACAGCAGGGGACACCAGAAATGGGTTCTTCACGTGCCCATGTGGGGAATCAAACCCGGGTCTTGACGAACGAATGCTTTAACCACTAGACTACACCACCGCCCCTCATTCACTCACTTGTGCTATATAGACCAGTTCTTTTTTCAGAAGAAGTCCTCCTTGGGGTACATATAAGCATTAAAATGTCCATTTTAAAAGCCTACGACAGTTGTAACAATATTTCAATAAAATATTTTACCAAACAAAAAACACGTTAAGTCTGGTGAGACCACCCCTACTGGGCCCGGCAGAGGGCCCCCTACAGCCAAGAGCAGGTAACTCTGGCTGTGTACCTCGTACCTCACTTTTCATGCTGTCGTTGACCGTGTAGGTCGTGCATGGTCCAGAAGACACGTCTTCGCGAAGTTCTACGCTTAAGATGAGTGAGAAAGAGTCAAATCCTGTATGTATGGTTCCTTCTTTTCGCACGGGCGCTAGCTGGAATCTTTGTATGACCTTTTTCATTCATGATTTGTTGTAACCTTACCGGGCGCAGTTCGCTATCTCCAGGCATGTGGCAGGCAAGATGGCGGACCGCGGGGTCCCTTTTGCTTCCTTCTGCTGGCTTCAAAAAGCCTTGTAGTCGGTCGTAAGAGTACTGATATTTCATTATGTAGATTATACTTGCCTAAATTCCTCCTTTTTCAGCGGCTTTAGGTAAGTTTTGCTTGAGTGATTTTGTGGCTGCTTGTTTGTCACGTTGTCGCTCACATATGTTGCTCTTTGTCACCTATGTACACAATTACGCTTCGCTATTGTGGCTTTGTGCTAGTATTTAATAGCTTTGCTGTAGCAGTTAAAATATCGCCCGTGCGTTGTATTTTGTTCTGTTTTGTTGTGTGCATATTATATTATATCGAACAGTCCTTGCTATTAGTCATAGCGTGGTTCTGTTTTTTGCAGCCCAAGGGGTGTGTTACCTGTAGCGGCAGTTTGTCGCCTCAGGATCGTCACCTGGTTTGCTTACGTTGTTTGGCGGAGGAAGCCCATGACGAACAAGGCTGTTCTATGTGTCAGGCTTTCTCCCCACGCACCATCAAGTCCAGACGTGCAGATTTCATGTTCTACACGTCCTTACTTCAGGCGGGGAGGACATTTGGGGTCAGGAGCCTCCTAAAGACAAAGATAAAAAAACAAAGAAAAAGAAGGCTTCTGCTTCCTCTCTTTTGGGGGATACTGCTCCTAAACGGGCGAAGGGTGCGGGGCCTTCGGCTCCTTCACCTTCCATCCCCTCCACATCACAGACACCTTCCCCCCCGCATGTCCCGGTTTCTAACCCGTTAACATTGGAATTAATATCTGATTTATTGCAGAGGCAAATGGATTCGGTCCACTCTCTCGTGTCTGACGCGATGGCTGGTCTCCGTCAGGAGATTGGCGTCCGGCCAGGTACGGGGGGGTGTTCCGGATCTATAGCGGGCAGTACTCCCAACCTTAGCTTAGGCTCTGGTGTGGGGTTTCTGTCGGGGGTCTCGTCTCGGTTGCTGGCCACCCCTCCGCTGTAGTAACTACCACCAGCCCAAGCCTTGGCTTTGGGACTGGGTCAGTAGTTCGGGCCGGTTTTGCAGGCTCAGTCCCTGTAGTTTCCGCTACATCGCATTTGGTCCCCGCGCTTGCGCCGGCTTTGCCGGGCCATTCGGCGGGATCATTTTGTTTGCCATTGGGGTATCCCAGCACGGGCTCTTCCTCGTCACGCCTCCAAGACTCAGTTTCGAGTCTTGGGTCGGGTGTGCCGGGCAACTCGGTTCTGCTCGAGCCTTTGTCCCTCTCTGTAGACCCCTCGGATGATCCCTCAGAGCTCTCTCTGGTTACAGAGACCTCACTCATTGAGGATCGATTCGAGGAGGCTATGGAGGAGGATGAGGGTCGGGGGGAGTTGGGTACGCCTTTGGTTTCACTCAGTGCGTCCCTGAGGCAGGTACGGGAGCGTCTTGCCTCTGTCCTGCCCCAGGTAGTGGTCAGTACTGGCGCACCCGACCCTCAGGAGTTTCACCTCCCAGGGGAGGCTTTTGCTCCCACCAAGGTGGGGGACACAAGGCTGCGTATATTACCCTCAGTTTTGTCTGAGGTTATCAACCCCCTCCTCTGTGGTACCAGGTCAAGGTTCGATTTGCCAGAACTGGACCGTCGGTACCTCATGGGGAGGCTTGCCTTTATAATCCCCCAGTGGTTGACGATTGTGTTTATGCATCCGTCGCCCTGGGGGGTTCGTCGGGTAATTCTATGGCTTCAGCCAAGCAAGGTCGTCGGCTTCCGCCGTTCACGACTAACGCCACGGCGCTTAAATCCGCCTATCGTTCCTTTGAAGAGCAATACTGCAATGCGGTTCAGTGCCTCAAGGTTACGATCCATTCCGCCTACATCTCGGTGTTGCAGAGGCAACTACTGAATGTGGGTGGGGTGGAGGAAGATTCTTCTCCCTCCACCTTGGCTAAGCAATTAACGGAGGTACAGTCACATCTGGCGCGCGATTCTATCAGGTCGTCGGCTTGCCAAATGATGTCGGCGGTGATGGGCCTCCGTCGCCTGTATCCGTCGTCGAGGTATTCGCCTGCCACGCAACAGGCTCTGCTGGCGCTGCCATTCCGGATGGGTTCTACCCTGTTCCCCGGGGCAGCTACAGTAGTCCGGGAGGCCCCGGAGGCTGTCTCAACCTTCAAGGACTCTAAGCCCTTGCTGGAACAGCCTCACATGTCTCGCTCGCGGCCCCCGGTTCTCACCTCCGCATATCCTTCTGCTGCGGCAAAGGAATCTGTTAAATGGGCTCAGCCCTTGCAGTCGCGGAGGGGTAAGGGCAGAGGCAGGGGCAAGGGCAAGGCCACGGCGCCCCACCAGCCTTTTCAGAGGAAGGGGAAGTCAGCCCCGGCTTCCCAGCTATAGTTCCTCCGGAGCCCTTGTTGGTACCAGACCAAGCAGTCAGAGTACTGCCAAAGTCCGGTATTCAATGTCTCATGCCACATATCCCTGTGGGTGGTCGACTTTCCCTCTTCCTATCGGAATGGGAAAAAGTCACTTCCAATCCCTGGGTCCTGTCCACGCTCAGGGAAGGCCACATGCCACAGTGGAAGCGAGACCCACCCCCCTTCTCCGGGACAAGGCAGCCATAGAGGTGGTTCCTGTGGGACAAGAAATGGTGGGTTATTACTCAACTTATTTCCTTGTCACCAAAAAGGACGGAGGGTTCAGACCTATTCTAAACCTCAAAGGTCTGAACGACATGTTAGAGGTACCGTCCTTCAAGATGGAAACACTGCGTTCGGTGATTTCGTCTGTGGAGAAGGGAGATTGGCTCACGTCAATCGACCTCAAAGACGCGTACTTCCATGTCCCTATGCACCCCGAGTTCAGGAAATACCTAAGGTTTTCCTTCGACGGGAGGTGCTATCAGTTTCGGGTACTCCCCTCGCATCTCCACAGTGCCACTGGTGTTCACCAAACTCATGCTAATTCCAGCGCCAGGTAGCCAGGTCACAGGGCAGGTGCTGTCACCCATTACTAGACGATTGGCCTTCGCAGGCGCTTGCCACTCACTCTGAGTCGAAGCTTACACTTTCTGTGATGAGTATACTCACCAAGTTGGGCTGGATTATCAACCTCAAGAAGTCAGAACTGGTTCCACCCAGGATCTGGTGTTCTTGGGAGCGAGATTCGAGACAGCGCGAGGGATAGTCTCCCTGTCTCCGGACCGCGTCACCAAAGTCCAGAGAGTTGTGTTACAATTTCTCGAGTCCCCCAGGGCCTCAGCTTGGACTTGGCTCCAGTTGCTAGGCAACATGGCGGCAGCGGTGGACATCGTTTGGCGAGCGCGGTTGAGGATGCGACCCATTCAGCAGGCTCTAGCTCGAATGTGGGTCCACACCCGGGGTTACGAGTTGATTCTCCACACTCCAGGGTGGCTAATTCCTCATTTACGGTGGTGGACGCTGGCAGGGAATTTATCCAGGGGGCTCCCTTTGGACATCCCATCGCCAAATCTCTCAATTCAGACAGACGCTTCACTCACAGGGTGGGGGGGTGTGCTGGGCTCCTGTCGGTCTCAGGCCTGTGGTCACAGAGCTTTAGGCGCAACTGCACATCAATGTGCTAGAATTGAGAGCAGTCAGGTTGGTGTTCGAATCGACTTCGAGCAGGTTCAAGGCGTGTGGTCCGTCTCGAGATGGACAACCAGACGGCGATGACCTATATCCTGAAGCAGGGCGGTACGGTCTCCCCGTCTCTTCTGCAGGAGGTGTGGCAGTTTCTGCTCTGGTGCGACCGGTTCGACATACGGGTAATGCCTGTTTATCTCCCTGGGGCGGACAACGTTCGAGCAGATGCACTCTCTCGACGTATCCTGGCCCCGCACGAGTGGATGCTCCATCGGGAGATATTCGGGGCTATCTCCCAGTTGTTCGGATCGTTCCAGGTGGATCTGTTTGCCTCTGGGGGGACGAACCGGATTCCGGTGTTTTGCTCTCGGATACCGGATCCGAGAGCCATCGCCCAGGACGCTTTCCAGCTCAATTGGACGGACAGGGTTCTGTGGGCGTTCCCGCCACTACCCCTGATTCCCAAAGTCCTCTCACAGCTTGCCACCCAACCAGCTCGACTTCTTGTGCTCCTTGCACCCCTTTGGCCGGCTCAAAGCTGGTTTCCGGTACTACTCGGGTTTCTGGCTCTGCCTCCTGTACTATTACCCTTTCGACCGGACTTACTATCCCAGAACAGAGCGCCGTACCCGAATCCCAGGATTCAGTGGGTGGCCTGGCCTCTGTCCGGAATCGCCTCCACGCGAGCGGAATTCCTGCACCAGTTGCAGACACAATTCTGGCTTCGCGGAGGGATTCGACAAACGTTCAGTTTGAGGATAGATGGGCCTGTTATACGCGCTGGTGTGTCGGCAGAGGGA